TGCATTCCCAACTTTTGTGCATTCTATTGTAGGTGGACGATGCTCCTGCTCTAGACATTCATTTCCATGATTAAAGTAGGTTGATCCGAGCTGATTTGGTTGAGTTACGCTCACACAAGATTACATCGGTTGAGCTACATCGAGCGTGCTCTATGTCCAGAGTGATGTAATCTCTCTTTGACCGCAGCTCAGTCAAATCAGCTCGGATCAACCTACTTTAATCATGGAAATGAATGTCTGGAGCAGGGGCATCGTTCGCATGCAGTGGATCACGCAACAATGATGATTGGATAAAAGTGGCCGTTAGCTAGCAATACATGCCTGTTCCTAGATGATCCATAAAGTAATTATACATTGACCCTTTCATTCATGCAAACGTAGCTGTGTTACACAACACGACCCTCTGCATCTTTTGCTCTGCCAGGGTCTAGCTACTTCACAATGAACAAAGACCACTCTTCCTATAGCATCACGCTTACAAACATAAAGGTGCCTGTATCTTCAAACTTTACAATGAAACGTGTGGTTTTTATTAGAGCAATGGGCTCGGCTTGGCCAACAGCACCTTGTGTGAAAGTTTTACGTTCAATGTCGCAACTAGCCCAAAAAATATTTTTTGGTCGTCGTCGTCGAAGAGGTCGACCCTCAGATCCAGTTTGGCTGGTGGCGACATTGCGAAATCTGGGATCGGCCACCTTGATCGCGAAACTGGCACCCAAGGTGCTGTTGGCCAATCCGAGCACATTGCTCTATTCAAAACCCCACGTTTCATTGTAAAGTTAGGAGATACAGGCACCTTTATGTTTGTAAGCGTGATGCTATAAGAAGAGTGGTTTTGTTCATTGTCAAGTAGTACGACTATAGAGCCAAAGATGCAGAGGGGCATGTTTGTGTAACTTGAGTCAGTCAGCACAGGCAATCATAATACTTGTACACTATCTAGGAATGGTTCATAAATGCTAGCTAATAGCCCATTCATCCCATTCACCTTTATTGCCGAAAACCAATGCATATGAACGATTCTCCTGCTCCAGCCCATCATCTCCATCCCTCAACTTTCATGATCCGAGAGGATTTGACTGAAAAACGCTCAAACACAGAAACATCATCCAATTTCACAAAAATCATTTTGCAGAGTTATTTGTAAACCGCCAGCTAATAGCCCATTCATCCCATTCACCTTTATTGCCCGAAACCAATGCATACGAATGATTGTCCTGCTCCAGTCCAGCATGCCCATCCTTCAACTTTCTTGATCCAAGGGGATTTGACTGAACAACGCTTGTGCAAAGTAATATCATTCAAGCTTCAGAAGAATCTAATTAATTTCCACCTCTTCCACTCCCAGCACCTTGCCTCTTCCTTCCATTCTCAACTCTTGCTCCATTCAAGTGTATAACTACCACCATGCGAACGATTGTCCTGCTTCAGCCCATCATGTCAATCCTACACTTGTCTTGATCTGATTGTCTTTGACTGAATGGCAAGTCCATGGCGTGTGCACAGCCTTCTTGCCACTCTTCTACAACACACGAGTCTCTTGACACAACACACGCTCTTGTACACTCATCTACCACAATCAAACGTAACAGCATTCATTCCAGCAATTGCTTTTAGCAAGGTCTTTAGCCCATTGTATCAAACAGCATTCACAACCTTGTCACTCTGCTGCAACACACGCTCATCCACTCTCCTCTACACGACCAATCGTACCAGCAGTTGCTATTAGCGAGGTCTTAACTCCATTGTCTCAAGTTACTTGCAGCAACCTGCCTTGCAGCCTTTCTTACGTGAACAGCAAATAGTCATCACATGGGAACAGTCTTTTTTACGTGTATCAACTTGCTTTAATGCATACGGATTCCAATGGATGATGCCATATCAGCTATCAAGTACACGTCGTTACAAGCACCTTCACGTGGTTGAGCTGCGATACAATGTCCCCAAGCAGTGATTGATCAACAGCCGGATGGAAAAGGATGCATATCAGCAGCAATATTGGACTTGCAATGGCTATGGATGGATGGATGCATGCATTCAAGTGGAGCAATGAGAAGTCTTGGATGTTGCTTCAAGTACTTGGCACGTTGTCAACAGGAAGGATGGATACTGTTGAGGATGATACTGTTGAGGATGATGGTTGATTGGATGGCATCGACGAGAGGTGTTCTACAGCAATGGATGGGTATTGGAATGTTCGAATCAAGGCACACATCAACTATTTTGCATTCATGGAGTGGAGATGTTTATGACGACAGCAACGAAGGATACAATGACACAATAATACTCGTCGACTCCAAGTGATTCACTCATACCTTATTCAACTTGCAATACCTGTTCCTTTTTCATATCTACTACTTAGATGATAAGCACCCACACTACCACATCCTATTCTTCGACTTTCCATTAAACGAGCATTGTATTCAACATAACAATTGAAGTGCCATCCTATCAGCTCATATTTGCAAGATGAGGATCACGTGGTTTTTTCTGGATAGATGATGACTAGGTGGAAGTTGGATTGGCAGGGGAAGAGGAATTTGAAGGTTGGATCACTTACATCGTTGTATCGAGAGACTTTTGTTCCTCTTGTCGCATTACATTCATGCTGGCTTCCTGGTTCACTACATAAACGATAAGCCGTGGTGTTTCTGAATGGATTGATACATCAGAGTAAAGTACCTCTCTTGACATGGAGCCCTACAAAAAATAGCAACCCACATGCACGCAATAAAAGTACCCCACATGCGCTGTGGGCTATCCTCCAACATTAATAGCAACTTGTTCGTTCACGTGGTAGTTAAAAATGGACCACAATCCATATCCTTGGTTGCTTCTAGCCTTGTTAAAGCTGTTAGTGGATCACCACCACCAGCAAGGGTAGGTTAGGCATAGCGTATAGTTTCACATGGCGTAAAGCAAACAAACTTTAATAGTGAACCATGTCAAAAAATGCCATCATTGTTTGTTTGTGTTTTGGCGCTTCACCTTCCTCGGAGATCATCTGCGCGCATGGAAGAAGTTTCTCTAGTAAAAAACAATGTTCACATGGCCTTTACACTGCCACCACCGTCTCACTCCCTAAATGAAGCGGCGTGATCAAGGCAGTACTATTTTTCTTTTTGAGCAACGTCAGCTGTGCAACATGAGCCGGATAGTGATCCGATATTACATTCACCTATATAAGTAACTGCATTGAGGAAATAAAGTCATTCAAATCATGTCGAAAAAATATAAAGTGAAAACCAATCATCATGATGATTCGACTTTACAAGGCGCTGAGCATGCTTGGCGGATGATGACACACTCAAGGATCGATTCACCGGATATGCTACGTTCCCATGCAAGGCATTTATGAAGCATCTCAACAATCAGTGGATGCACCGTCGATCGTTGTTGTCTCTTTGGCCAATCAAATGAGTGCTTCGATATAGGCTTGGCCCTTCCAAGATAGACTGTAGGGGGGAAAAAGGAGGGATCGACACATATAAATGATGAATGTTTGATCTGTCGATAAATGTGTATCTCTTGTCAATTATCCAATGCATGTAGCTGTTACCCTTCCCACTATAACTACAAAGATGAATGAAGCAAATAAAGGGACAACAACAATTTATGCCTCATGGGTGTGAGAATATGCTTCGTTCCTTGTGCCACTATCGTTCGTTCACGATGCACAAATACAAACTCCAGCTTATCCATGGAAACAGGAAATGTTAATATGTATAATACAAGATCATGATGTTTGTCAGTGATGAAGCGCATGCACTATAGAACAAGGTGGGCAATTGCCTATTTTGTAAAGTCGGCTCGAGCCACCGGCAAGTAGACGATAGTCGCGACATGGCCACGTTTTCTTACAAATGTGCACACAAAAAAGAGGCGGCCATGGAACCTTGTTTACGTTTTCTTTTTTGGCCTTCTATCAGGGACTAGCGTATTTTCATCTCTCTCTCTCTTTCTCGCTACTCTTGCACTCTCTCTTTTTTCTCTTTCTTTTGCTGGTTATCGTGGTCTTGGCTGCGTTACATTTGATGGGCATCTGATGATGCCGCGATTTTCGCTCGGATCATATTTACCAGCTACAAGTCGGCAACAACACGTTCAACAAGAGGAACAACAACAACAACAACAACCGGATACATTAAAAGGGTGGTGGACCAAACTAGTAGACAAATTCACAACCGAAAGGGATGACTTTGGGGATCTTTCACCTGACCGACCACCATTACCCTTTATTGCCTCGCTTGGAGATGCAGGTACCGGTAGCAATATTGGTAGAAACCTCCCACCACAAGCATCATCATCATCATCAGCACCTGAAAATAGCAGTGGCATCAATCGGTTCACACGTGCAAAGCGTATCGCTCCCCAAGCGGAAGTGGCTCCGGTCACCCACGTAAGTTGCACCCATTTCATTCTACACTCAGAGTACAACCATCTCTTTCCGATATACCGATGAGAGGTGGAATGTGCACGCCATCAATGAATGTGTGTGCGTATATGTGTGTGTGTATCCATGGATACAATGTAAGCGCAAATTTACTTGCCCCTTGCTTTGTTGCATGTTTGTTTACTTTTTTCCTATTGTAAACTTGCACTTTTGTAACAATAGAGCTTGGTTACTTGGGTTGCACAGGCACATCATCTAATTTCATGGGCTCTATATTTGGTGTGCTTGGGGCAAACGGTCCGCAATCCGAAGCAAAAGAGGAGGGTGTACCCGCACAAACCTCATGCACACACACGCACACAAATTTCCTAGCAATTTGACTTTTTAACTCATCACGTGTTTCATTGTAGCGTCTTTCGGCAGATGAGCGAGCTTTTCGAGGTGCCTTGTATACTATTATTGAAGAAAGTGAGACCATTTTATCCTTGTCATCACAAACCATGACACGACCACGGCCATTGTCATCCAGCCTCGATGATGACAAGCTCAAACGGATATCGATTACCAGTAATGGTACCAATGCAAGTGGTGATTCTTCTGGTTCATCTACATCATCCTCAAGTGCATCATATCATCCACCACCCCTTTGGCCATCGCAGCCCCAAAAGCGAGAGCCACATTTTCGACATCACGTTATTGGAGACGAAACCAAATGCCGTCGCAAGTTTATTAAAATGGTTCAATCAGCCAAAAAGTTCCACAATGAATACAAGGGTGTCATTCCAAAGGAGATGCAGGTTGTTTTCAATGCATATGACAATGTGCAGTGTATTCGATTGGAGGTGGATGGCAAAATAGAAGATCACAAATTCTGTGGGTAAGTGCATCATCATCATGTGACCTGTAACGTGAATGAATGAGAAGGTTGACATGGAAACCAAATAGGAATTCCCAATTTATCCCACCAGAGCTATCAACACATGGCACATTCCACAATAGCCGTGTAGATGTTTGGGTATTGGGCGTCAACCTCTACCGCATGCTTGTTGGCAGATATCCTTTCGTGGCTAACAATGATCGGAAACTATTTAAAAAGATGCTTAGTGCAGACTTTAGTCTCCCGCAGGATTGCTCGGAAGGTAATTAATACTATCATACATGACATGGAAGATGTATATTCATATCCATGTGCATAGATGCAAAGGACTTGTTACGACGTATGCTCGCTCCTGATACGACAAGAGCCTCACTCGATCTTGTTCTTCATCATCCATGGGTCAATCCTTTCAAAGTGGCTGTGCCACCCACTGCTACATCATCAGAGGAAGAAGACACCAGCAGTGCAAGTCGAGACCCTACACCACCGTCAACGATTGAACAACGCTTACCTACCACACAACAACAACCTGAACCATCACTCATGACAACGGATCAAGAGGGATCAGCTGCTGTGCAGCCACAACCTTCAATCTCTATAGTAGTCGAAAACGAATCACCCTCATCATCTACCGAAAAGCCAAAGAAACAACGTTCACGTCGACGACCCTTACGAAAAGCCATGCATGTCATTAAGCGTGCTACTTTGTTTGTTGTGCAGGGACCCTATCCCCCACCCAGTCGACCCTATCATGAATTTGGACGTCCACTTCAGGCATCATGATGATGAAAAGACGATAGTTTTGTGCCAATACCGATCATCCCTTTACCGCCATCCATCAAACATCCTCACCCTCATATCATGTAATCCCTCTATTGTTATTCCTCTTTTGCATAATTTGCTATTCTTCACTGCTGTACCATTATTACTGCATCTTTGTCTCTTCCTCCTCCTTCATTCGTTTATCCCCTATTGCATATTCAATAGAAACATCCACACACTTTTGTATGTATTGTATCAAAAAAGAAAAGACTTTGCTGTGCAAATGGATCGAATGGCTAGATCACGGGGTCGCGATCGCCCTGTTTTGTGGGATAGCCAAGTATGGCCTAGGAGATCATTTTACTGTGCTGCTATAATTAGAGTGTGGTACAATGCTTCATTCAACTCAAAAAAGTCCAGCCTTGTCATCAAAGATTCTGGTGACGAAAAAAAAACCTCTCCTCCTCCTCCTCCTCTCTTGCATACACAGTTATACCTTCCCCCTCCCTTCCTCGTCTCTCTTTCATACACACGCATTTGCTTTCATTTTGTTCTTCATTTACCCTACATGCACGTATACTAATACACTACTCTCTAATGCCCTTCAAACGCTCCATCATACTACAACTCATCTTTGCATTCTGTATCCTTTGTCTCATCATCGTTGCACACCAAGCAAATGACGCTCACAAAAGTAAGTCTACACCCTCATGTCGCGTAAAGCATTGTATTGACGTGGGCTTCTTTGCTTCTACAAGGTGACTTTGTAAACAACGAGTGTCCTGGAGGTGTATGCGATTCGCCTAGTCAAGACGATCCAACCAATGATCCATTACCGCCACCACCGCCACCACCGCCATCAGACAATCAAAGTGATGACAATGACCCATCGATACCAGTCAACGAGAAACTAGTGACACCCAACGATCATGATGAGATATCCAACAACGACTTTCCTTTCACTATTGTGACAGCTGCAAGCGCCAATCATTTTTGTGCATTGGAGGGCATGTTATATACATTGAAAGATATGAGACAGCATGTACGTTCATTTCCAAGATTGGTGGTTTATGACTTGGGCACAAATGACCAGCAAAAGACGATTATGGCCAACCTTCAGCAACATCAATACTTTGACGAGCTCGTGACATTCAACTACAGCGCTTATCCTGCATTCTGGGACATTACAGTGAATCGTGGAGAATATGCATGGAAGACTGGTATTGTCAAGGAGGTTCAGGAACAATATGGTGGTGTGATTATCTGGTTGGACACGGGCGATGTACCCAATCTCATGTTTATGCGCATGATCCCTGAATACATTCGCAAGTACGGCTTTTGGTCACCAAGAAGTACTGGCTTTGTCGGTTCAAAGTTTAATCACCTTGGCATCTTTGACTATCTCAAGATGGATCGTAAGCAATACGCAATGCTCGAGAATTGCAATGGTGCAGCACTTGGTTTTGATACGGATAACCCACGCATTCTCAATGAATTGGTCACACCTTGGTATGAATGTGGTTTGGACAAGAATTGTATTGCACCTCCCGGATCATCAAGGCAAAACCATCGACAAGATCAATCGGCCATCACATTACTCGCTGTGCGTGCTGGATTTCAATGCTTTGAATACCCTGAATTCCATGGTGTTACCATCCATCAGGACGAGTTTTGTCAAGAACGCCTTAGCTCGCTGGATAAGATGGGTCGTTTACTTCATCCTTCTTCCATTGGTAAGAGAAAGAGCAGGTTTTTATACGCTGTGTTGGTATTTATATATGTCTCTAGATTTGTAAACAAGAGGATCTGGTCACTGGATGGCTAGTAGAAGATTCGTTATAGACATATGAGGGAGGGATCTCAATAAACATCACATCTGGATGCGACGGACTTGATTTCTTACATGCAATGTGATTATGTCAATTTCCATATACATTTATTCTTGAGCGAGAAGGTCTAAGCCTATTGTAATTTTGGGTTCATTCAGTAATCACCCGACAAAAGTACATGCTATCACAAAGGTAATCAAAACAACAAAGAAATGAGACGCCGTGCTATGAAAGAACAAGAATACGGGTTGCTTGCTTTGCTAGTAAACGCGTTGAAGGACTTAATGGAGTAATGGTCTTACAAGTCCTGGTCTCTTAATCAGGAGCTGTTGTTGTCAAAAACGTTTGTGTGGATCTTCGTTTCGAAAAAGTTGAAGGTTGTTCGCTCCTTCATCAATAAAGAACAGGGGGGCATACGCGTAAACGTGAGGGTGATAATATAATGGCCCATCAACCCAATAGCGTTGTGCAAGCTAGATTACTGATAAGATTTTGTTGTATACGAATTTCTATGGGACTAACCAAATAGCGGTATGAGAGTTGCAGATAAATGATGGTGTATTCAAGCAATGTCACGCGGATCATCAATGATCAACATGGACATCTCCGTTCGATGAGCGTCCCCATGACCGTGCACCAAAGGGCTTTAGTGTATTTCAAACAAGCGGGGGTAACGCGCCGTTATTGCTGTTGTGACATGCTGCTGTGTAAGGCAGAGTGGGTCAGGCGCCCGGATCTGGGGGGCGATGGTGGAACAATGGGAAACGGCGGGCTGCTGCATATAAGCTTGATGCTCTTGTTTTATTGCATGATGAACAAAGAGAATGAAATTACATTGATTGACATGCTATAAATGCATAGCTTGGCCATTGTTCTCGATTGTATACAGCTTCTTGTCGAGAAATCAATATGCATCCTCAAATGCTTTGTACAATCAGCCGACTTTTTTTTGCACAATGCAACGTTTCTAGATGCACATGACGGTGTGATGGCGTTTTCTTTCCCTTGTTCCTAAAGACTTTCTCTTGATGGTTTATGTTTGTTACATGGATGGTTGACTACACCAATAGTAATCTTCATTGCTCATCCTCTTAGCTGTCAATACAGCACTATGCATACGTGTGAGTGAGAGAGAGTGCTAGAAATAACAAACAAACATTCCATTCGTCGTGGGTGTAGCAGGCAATCGAACACCCCTTAGGGTAATGCATGCGCCACTGTGATGCCAAATAAAGATGTTGGATCTTGCATCACATTACCCAAAATTCAACTGCCCCGCATTTTCCTCTTTGTGCACGCACACGCACACGCGCTCTCACGCATTTATTCCCATTCTAGCTTTCTTTCTTTTGTTCTCGTTGAAAGTCATTTGAGATCGCTTTTGCTCATTGCTCCATTGTCTTCAAGGTCCCCATTGCTCCATTGCCCAACCTACTCCTCCCCCCACTCTATCCCCTATTCACTCTTTTGTTCGCCTCCAGGAACAGCGTGACACTTTCTGCTTATAGCCATCAAACTTCTTCTCCTGGTACACTATTGTTTTTCGTTTGTTCGAGCTTCCATGGGCTCAGTCTACAATACATCTCTGCAGCTACCCATCATTACATCCTCGGGAGAGGATAATGACGACTTTGACTTTCATGCACCAGCAGCAGTGACATCCAATAACATTGCCAGTACAGAGTTTGATTTCGAGTACGACACCACTGAAACATTAGCACAGCGTGTGATTCAACAAACATCTGCTACATTCACTGTAAGGAACACTTTTGAGGGGAAATACTGATCAAGGAGGCAAAAGGAGTGTAATAGGGCTCACATCATCATCATCATCTCGATAATAGTCATTGTCGGCCAATGCAAGCAATAACACCGTTGCCATGTCAACGGCAACATCCACCATCACACCCCAATTTTCGTATCCAAGCAACAACAACAACAACAACAGCAGTAGTAGTGATGTAGCATCGACAATGAATATAGCGACACCTTGCATTGATGAGCGACACGACACTTATGGACAACATTTACACAACGACCATGATGAGGAAGATGGTACAATTAATATGCGGCAATATGCATCGAAAGCCACAGGAATATTCGGGAGCGATGTAATAACGGAGCATCAACAATATCCAAAAACGTATGCCGAATCAAGCTCTTCTTCACGTGCCTTCGTGGCTCCTCATCATCTTCCAGCCATCTTGGCACCGATATCACCCAATTGTAGCTCCAGTGGTACCCCACATACAACATTATCCAATTGCTCGTTGCCAAGAAACACGATCAAGATCCAGAATGGTCATTCTACTACTCACTACGCTGACGACGACAATGACAAAGATGACAAGTCAACATGGTTATTCGCAGCAAAAAAGGGGGAGGAGCACCAACACCTCCTGTTTTCTGTCGATCATAGCAAGCAAGACTTAGCAGTGTCTCATCATCATCAGGTGCGCTTTCTTTATTATTCTTTCTTTGAAAGTGGAGGTGGCTTGACAACTGTATTTCTAAATACATATTCATATCATTCTTTTCTTTTCCCCCTCGTCTCTCAACTCCTCGACATCTCCCTTTCTGATACACACATCCTTAACTTTTCTCATTTATATATCCTATTCTTTTCATTTCTTTCTTTTCTCTCTCTTTCTTTATCTATCATCACCCTTGCCCTCTTATTATTCAGGCACCTCGATCGAGAAAAGGGAGCAACAGTAGCACGAGCAGCAGCAGTAATAGCCGTGCCATCATCATCAATATGCAAGAGGAAAAGTACCCCAACAAACGCACATTTCAAGAAATGTCTGCAGATAGTAATAGCATGATTGGACGAGTACAGTTACCAGGATTACAACATATCGTGTCACCTTATGCAATACGTGAAGCCGAACGACAAGAGCAGGAAGAGGCGCTGGGTAAAATCCCTGAACATCCCTTCAAGGCATACCCGTCATTCATCTCTATGAAGCACATGCATGAACAAGGTGATCACCGATCCAACAATTACACGCCTTCTTCAAATTCCCCTCCAAGTCTCTCTATCCCTACTCATTTCAGCATTCGTGGCGACTATGACGATGATGACGATGATGATGACGACGATGATACGGATGATGCTGCTATTATTACGGATGAGATCAACTCTGGAGAACCACATACACCACGTATAGCCTCTTCTCCTATCACATTTTGTTCATGCAACCAACAACAGAATCCAACATCAACCACTGTACACCATCAATCCTCTTCTCGATTGAATGTAGCAAGTCGTCTCGGTGCAGCAGAAGCAAACGCGTTGAATGATATTGGTCGATTAAAGTCAACAGCACCACCACCACCGTTACGAGCAGAACGAGAACGTTTAAAACGACCACCCAATGCCTATTTGTTATTCAATCGAGATATGCGTCGTAAATTATTGGAAGTGTCACCCAAAATGGGCGTCGCGGAAATAAGCAAAAAGATTGGCGAAAAGTGGAAACAATTATCATCAGTAAGCTATAGTAAAAAACCCCCTTGATTGTATTGAATTATACGCGTCGTACGTGAGAAAATTAACCCATCTCTCTCTCTCTATTCATTAGGAAGAACGAGAAAAGTATATCCAGGAAGCGGCTCTCATCAAGCAAGATCATCTCAAGAACCATCCCGACTTTATTTACACACGACGGTCTAAAGCTGAACTTGCCGAAGCAAAGAGACTTTCAAAGTTACGTCGAAGCAAGAACAATGACACAGCAGCATCACCGAATACCGAAAAGTCAACGGCAACTAAGGAGGGAAGAGAGCAGCAACAAAGCAGCAGCATCACTAGTAGTAGTACTACCAAGCGAAGGAGGAAATCTAATGCACCTGATGCACCACGTGACCCACGAGGACGCAAAAAGAAACGACACCGACATCCTACTGCACCCAAACATCCCATGTCTCCATTCCTCTTTTTCCTTGCAGCTGTGCGTCCACATGTGGCTCAACAATTCCCTGGATCAACAGTGGGCCCCATAAGTAAAGTCATTGGTGCCCAGTGGCGTGACATGTCTGATGAAGCACGTATCCCATGGATCAAAATGGCTGAAGAAGATAAAGCACGCTATGCACGTGAAATGCGAGTTTACATGGCCAATCTCGATCAACAAGCACAAAATCAACATGACATTGATACTACTACAGCTAATACAGAAGACTTGGATGATAGCGCGGTGGCCACTGTTGTTCAAATGGTGAATAGTGGTGGCGGTGGTGGTGGTGATAAACAAGACTTTTATCCTCCAGCAAGCAGTAGTAGTAGTGGTCACCATTTTGAAACCATTTTCCCCCAATCCAACGAATGTATATGATAAAGTTGATAATTGTCTGTGTACAAACAGAGAGATATAATTAAGGGTTGATCTATCTACAATGGGGGTGGTGAAATGTGTATGCTACATGCTTATGCAATATCTTGTTCATCCTCGTCGCTATCCTCATGGTCATTCTTGGAGACACCCGTTCTTTTGAGAATGGCAAAATAAAGAGGGCCCCAACCATCCGTTTTGTCAGGAAGAACAATCCAACCATACTTTGTGCGTTCACCAATGGGCCATGTGCGTTTGACCACCTCCACAGGGATCTTTCCTTTTCGCATGAACTTGCTAATCACCTTGTCGTTCTCTGTAGAGCTGATGGAGCATGTTCCATAGACAACCGTACCACCTACACGCACCGAATGAACAGCAGCTTTAAGCAAGGCGAGTTGTCGTGTGGCATTATGGACCGTGCGTTTGGGTGACCACTGCTCAAATTCCTTTTCATCGTGTAGTAAATGACGTTCAGAGGAACAAGGAGCATCCAATAACACCTTGTCGTATTGCTCAGGCTCTTGATAATACTTGGTGCCATCCTTGCCAACCACTGTCACCAAATCCTCCAATACATCCTTGGGTACATAGCCATCCAACACTTGTCGTAGTCGTCGTCGTCGATCTGCTGATAACTCGTTGACGGTAAGGTGACCACCACGTCCTAGTCGTTGAAGAACGGATACTGATTTGCCACCTGGGGCAGCACACAAGTCAAGGACATGGTCATGGGGTTCAATATCCAAGGCCTCAGTCGCTAATACTGATCCAGCATCGAGAATGTAGTAGTCGGTCATGCCATGATCGTCTTTGGAAGGATGAGGAAATCGCTCAGCGTCCATGGATGCAAAACAGGGAATGCTGCAAAAGCCAAGTCGTGCCAAGTTCAATGGTGTCAACTTTTCTGGATCGGGTGGTGAAGTGCAGTACTTGTTGAGCATAATGCAATGGCGTGAAGGTTGATGCATGGCTTCCATTAGTGTAGACCATCGTTCCGGACCATATTCTTGTTCATAATATTGACTAAAGGCATTGAATACAGCTTGTCTTCGTTCTTGTTCTCGTGCAATAGCCTTTTGTTTGTTCTTGGATAATCCTTTGGCTGGTTTGCGTCCCTGGGATGGTGGCATTTTGATACGAAACAGTTGGAAAAGTTTGACACGCGCGGGAGAGATCACACATTATACACAGGGCCGCCACCAATCAATCAACCTCTCTCATGCGTGATAATCATCCAATGTCCCCCATTTATATATAATAAAGTTTTATACACACACATCTATCTTCGTTCCTTCACAAAGAAAATGAGCCATAGTAAAGCAAAGAGAATAAATGACAAGAACATTGCACTGAGCTTGATAACATCTGGCCAGTAATTCTTCGCATTAAAGCCAAAGGTCGATAAGATGGTTGCTCCAGGAACCTAATAGCGTCCAACACCATTAACAAGATAGCTTCGAGAAAAACATCCTTGTTGCTACTTACATCAATATTGAGACCAAACCTTTCCTCCACGAGCTGAAGATACAACATCTCATTCACCAGTAGCGCTTCCAGTGCATAGTTGAAGAATGATAGATGCTTGAGCCAGCTAAAGTAGGGTGACATGGAATCTATAAAAGCGCATAGGTTAACCTAGCTGATCCTCATGATCCCATACAACCTTACCTTTGTTCAACAAGAGGCCAGCAAACAACATAGAAAAGAGGAGCACCATGCAGCACAATAGATTTGCCATCGAAAGGTTCTTGAATACGACACCAATAGCCAAGCACAAAGCAGCAGCTGTCAAATTAAACAAGACAAGGACAAGCAAGAACTTGAGGAATTCATTGACACCTTCCACCAAGCCAACCATGTAATACGAGATCAATCCCATCATGAGCGGTGGCACCACGCGCAAAGGAATGATGTCGAATAAGACCTATTTCATGGATTAGAACCACGTGCTGATTTGGGTCATTGTTCGTCAACTTGCCTTGGAAAGGAAATAAATGCCAGGTGAATAATAGCCATTGGCACGCTCTCGTACAAAGAGAATACGCTCATTAGAAAACACTTGGAGGGATGTCAGGCACATGAAACCCAATAGAGCTTCATAAAAGAAGAATAATCCCATGCGATTCTGGAATCCAGCAATGGTATTGGATACTTGATAAAATAAGCCGCCACAAATCACTACATGACATGTGGTTAGAAAGGGGTACCGTTATACAATGAGTGAGTAGATACACTTACTTGCGAGAACGACGGCAATGGTATAATGTGCAAACATGAGCATTGGGTTTCGATACAAGTTTTTGAACGTGCGATCAGCCAGAATACGAAATTGCATAAACCATCCAGGACGTTCATGCGTGTGAACAGGTTTGACAAGGGGTGATGCTGCTCCTCCTTCTTCCAAATCATCAGGCGTTGCTTGTCTATATACATTCTTCGTTAATAGATGGTTCTTCTATTACCAAAATGAAAAGGAACACTTACGCTGCCGCCAAAATTTGCTCCACATCATCACGTACGGCCACAGCAACAACACTCTTGTCATAAGCTTCCACAAGTCGTTTGAGGTGAGGTGTCATGCCATCTCCCTTTGTTGTAGAAGTAGCAGCATTATCAGAAGACTCGCCGTCCACCACGACATCAGGTACAGTAAGCTGTTGTTGTTCCTGGCGTTTCTTACGAATCCTTTCTCTTCGCAATCTTTCTTGACGTGCTCCTAATTCAGATGCCCATTGTTCGCTGGTATTCTCCAAATCATCACCAAAACCATTGCTTGAACCAAATAAGGACGTTGATGGTGCTGGATTGACAGGTGAAGATGATTGCATAATCGATGGTTGTTGTTCACTATCAGATGCCAAATTGCTTGTTTCATCATGCAAAACGGGTTTTGGATCGGAAGGTTGCATCGTCAAATCGATCAAATAATCGGCAATATTGAAGCCAGCTGGACAAGGGTAGCCAATGGTCTTGAAATAGGATTGGACACGAGGTTGTGGACCAGAGTAAACAGTATGTCCCTTGCCAAGAACAATAAGCTGATCAAAGAGGGTAACAATATTGGATCTGGGCTGATGGATTGTGAAAACAATGGTGCGATTGTAATCTTTGGCGAGCGTAACCAAGGATTCGACGACATTGTATGCATTGTATGCATCGAGACCACTGGTGGGTTCGTCAAGGAATAGGATGGATGGCGAAGTTACAAGCTCACATGCAATGGCTACGCGACGTCGTTCACCACCACTAATGGATCGCTCACCAGGTTGACCAATCTTGGAATCCTTGATATTGTCGATACCAAGCTCCTGCATCACTTCCATCACTCTGAACTTTTTGGCGGCCTTGCTCATGGATCGTGGCAATCGCAGCAATGCCGAGTATAAAATCGTCTCGTACACGGTGAGTGTTGGGATCATTGTATCTTCTTGGTCAACATAGCCCACAAGTCGTTTATAATCCGATGGCGACACCGTATGGCCATTCACATACACATCCCCGATCACTGTACCCATCTTGGGCCGCTTTGCAAGGATATCCAGTAATGTCGTCTTGCCAGAACCTGAAGGACCCATGATAGCCATCACTTCACCAGGTCGCACCATACCAGTAATACTGTTGAGGATGGCTTGTTTTCCCACCTTGTAGGATATGCAATCGAATATCAAGTTGGCTGGAGTATGTTCGGTCATGAGTTTGCCAGCTTCATCATCAGCGAGTTGAATATAGGGTGCCGAGCCACTTGATTTCCTTGCCAAATAAGTAACAACTCCAGTGACAATGATCAAGAAAACCGCAACACCAGCCATGCCACTAACAATCATGATCCAATTGATAGGACGCTCTGGTCTCTATAATACATAGGTATGGTTAGCTACCTTCCAAAGTGTCCCTTCCATCGCTTTTTGATCACTTGCCTTGAACCCAGGTACCATGGTATAATGAAGGCATTCGCCCGAATTACAAGTCAAAAAGATGGATTCATCACCAAAGACCATCAAAATCAAATCATCCATAGCAGGCTCTATAGGTAAGATTTGGTAAGGGTGATGTATGCCAAGTATACTACTATCTTCCATGTTACCTGAAAAAGCGCATTCTCGGTCTGTGCACTTGAAACTTGCAGGTCCCTTGATCTCTTCTTTGAGTAGATCCGTCAAATCTATGTATGCATTACTTCAGTACCAGTGATGTATAAAAGAATCACATTCTATGATCCTTACCAATGCTACCATCCTTTCCACAAAGCATCTCGTCTTTGATACAGCGGCAATTGATATTGTTGCACTTGTAATTGGTGATGTTGTTGTCGTAGCCAAACTCTGGATGATACATGCTTTAGTACTTTTTCACAATGCTCAGGGTATAGCTTACCTTGGTCAAAAGCGCATTCATCAAGATGACAATAAAACGATTCAACCTCATCCACCCAAACTATATGATGTTTCTTGTCAGCTACTACCATTCCTTCCTATGCATCCTAAGCAAGAACAATCACTCACATTGAAAATCGCATGAATCTTCATGTTGATTACAAGAAAAGGTGACTTGAGGGATTTGATCCTTGAGTTGCTCCAAGATTTTTCGATCTAGAATTGTTTGTGTGAGTGGCGTTCGTCTCCATGGCAACTTTTGAAACACATATCCAGGGATCAAGGGGCGGGGGGCAGGGGGAGAACTTACTTGTCACATTGCACATTTGATGGTTTTCAAAAACGGTCAAACCGCCTCGATAGCAAGTACCATTTTGACCGGTGGGTACAAGTGGGTCACAAACCGAATCCATGGTACATACTAGATAGAGCGGGAAAATATGAGAAAACCGTGGGTAATCTACTATGCATCCTCGTAACTTACCATTGCAATTGATACCTTCCCATCCTTCTGGGCAATCACAGTGATTATCCTCTCTTGGTATTCTTTGGCGTCCATCAGCAAGTGCTCCACATACTATAGTGATGAATGGGAGGGGGTGAGTGAATATGCATTGTATCTGCTGATATGTATATACGTTACGTGGCTCTCGGCAGTCGTCACCTCCAAACCCAGGTGGACACTGGCACTGCCCGCTATGGCTACAATTGGCGAAATGCAGGCACTCAAATCCAGGCAACATGCAGTTGAAGCATTGAGGACAATCAGGACAACCATTATTGCCGTCACCGAGGGCAGGTATAGTAGTAGTGGTGGTGGTAGTAGTAGGTGGTGGTAAAAGATAACCGAGTGTCGTCGAAGAGGTATTCGTTTGCGCGTCGCTAATGCCCAAACAGGACACCAAAAGCACGCCGAAGAGTAATTGGCGTAATGACATTGGGAGGTCGAACACTCACGCAATACACGACTTGTTCTTGTTGAATGGGGTGGAGAAAGAAGGGTGTCCTTGTTCCCAAGCAGAGCCGCACCTTACTTGATTTTGCTCGAGGTACTGCATATGACGCAAATGATTGGTACGGATTACAAATGTTCCATCCTGCCGGCTTTAATATCACACTCATTCCTGTGATAAGGTCTCAGAGCTTCATACATTTCAAGGGGTCACATGATACATGGTCTTATTGTTTCATTATCAAGGTAACTTTGATAACATAGAATGGATGATGGGGAATAGGATGTTAATCTTCACAACGCCGTGTAGGTCTACTGCTGCCGCCATGATAAGCAACAACTAAAGACGATGATGTTGGCACCGCTTGATGAGCATAAGGTGATTCACGTAGCTTGTATAATGTACCAGTCTTTATGCGGCTTGCATGCCTACCTTGTGATAAAAACAAACCATGGCCTTAAGGGTCTGGTAATCCATATCATTTGATCGTTCCTTTTGGTTGTTTTCTATGATGGAGTCACACATAAAGCGTTCTCAAGTTATCATACATGGAGCATTTATTGCCTTTAATGACCACAAAGTTTCATCCATTATCCACCTACTGAGAATAAGCATCTACGAGAGGATCATTGTCTCAAGTGATACAATGAAAAAGGGCCAAACAATGGGTACGATTTATGCTGCTATGATCTCAGCACATAGTGTGCAACAACATTGCTGAATAATCGGGAGGGCGGTTTCCGATCCGCTTAAAATATACAATGAATACGATCCATTTACCCGGATACATGTATATGATTGCATGGGATCATTCAAAACGATGACACCATGTCATTGTTTATTAATAAATCTAATCTTATCTTTGGCAACAGCTTGGTGTTCTTTTGGTGCATTGGCAATAAGGAGATCCGGAAGAAGAAGCAGCAGCAAGCACTGGATTTTTGGGGAAGGAGCAGCGAAAGGATTTCTGGTAAAAAGAATCACCCCTGACAGCAAGAGGCCATCGGCATCGAGCACCGTTTGCGACGTCATACAATGCATGGAACATCCTTTCAAAGAATGGTCAATCTACTAGCGGATGCAATAACAGACACAACCCATGTTTAGCAGGTGTGATGGAGATTATCATCATTAGAGATATATCTATCTTCTTCTTGTACAATGTTTCCCAGGGTCCCTCATGATAACGTAAAAGACTGAATAGTGCTTAATGGGATGGGGATATTCTTTTAACAAAGGGAGCGAGCGAAGTTCTTTGGAAGCTTTTGGGGGTGGGGTGTGGATTGCCACTCAACCAGTGAATGCGTTCAAAAAAGCTTTTGCGGAGTTGGGAGCACATGTGCCACATAAATAAGGCATTTCCGCTATGTCAGCATCCCTTCTTTTTGTGTGCAAACAAAGGGCCAACTTGTTCTCCACCACACTTGCACTTTTTCCTCATGTCTTTCTTATCTCGAGCACTCTTTGTACGGTCCATGATGATCAGGCCGATGCAAGCACATGGTAGAAAACCCATGATGATGAATGTGGTTGCTCAGCGTCTTTATTCAAGTCGTCCCATGGATCAACAACCATCAGCGGCAAGTAAGTATTCTTTTTCCCATTCTCACCCGCAGTAAGGTTCATGTGGCCTCCCACCCATTCCTCCCCTCCCCCTCCTGCTCCACTGCAACTGTTATTGTGTCACGAGTGACAAATAATAATGTGTGCGGAGTGTTTTTGAGTACCATCCATCCATGTCAATTCCTCGTCCACCACTTTTCACTCACTCACTCTTGAACACTCCTTCCATAATCCCAAAGAACGATCCAAGGTCACGATCAAGACCCTCAATCGCTTGTATAAGCATGGCGAACCCATTACCATGATGACCGCTCAAGACTACCCCTCTGGCATGATGGCTGATCGTGCAGGAATGGACATGTGCTTGGTGGGCGACTCGCTGGCCATGGTAGCATTAGGCTATGACTCGACCAATCCGCTTACGGTTGATGTAGGTTGGCTCGAGAAAGGGTTTAGGATGTCATAGAGAGACTAAGACATGTTATTAGGAAATGTTGCATCATTGTCGAGCAGTCGCCCGAGGATGTAAATCATCGTTCCTGGTATGTGATTTACCTTATGGCAGCTACGAAGCCGATCCCACAGATGCAGTGCGTGTATCGCTACGATTTCTCAAGGAGGGCAATGCCGAGGTAGGCTCATGATTAGGGATAGCGTTGGCAAGGTATGGATGGTATGGTAACCAAGCGACGATGGTAGGCTGTCAAATTGGAAGGAGGCAAAGAGATGGCCGAGACGATTGAACGTATCACGCGCGTGGGTGTTCCTGTTGTTGGCCATATTGGTTTGACTCCTCAACGGCAATCGGCATTAGGTGGTTTCCGTGTTCAGGGCAAGACGGCGAAGCAAGCACATCAACTTTTGGAAGATGCTTTAGCTGTACAAGAAGCTGGTGCATTCATGATGGTTTTGGAAGCTATGCCAGAAGAGATTGCAACCTATATCACACAACAACTCAAGATTCCTACCATTGGTATTGGTGCTGGTGTACATTGCTCGGGTCAAGTGCTAGTGCAGAATGATGCTCTCGGTCTCTTTGATCGTTTTGTGCCAAAGTAAGTAGTGACAAAAAGAAGGAAGGATAGGATGGCTCTTGCTTACTTTATGTGTGGATAGATTCACCAAGCAATATGCCAATCTCAACCGTATCATGACGGATGCCTTAAGACAATACCATGATGAAGTCAAATCACGTGCCTTTCCTGCTCCCGAGAATACCTATCCCATCGATCCACGGCAATTGGAAAAGTTCTGGGAGTTAGTGGGAGAACCCCATCGTAATGAGGAGAAACATGAACAAGAACGCGCTGTTCGTGCCCATGCTTAGAAGACACTTTATACAACAGATGCCCTTTGCTGCTCACTTTTTATTGTTCTTATATCCGTTATCATCATGCTCTTCTTTTTGTGTTCCCCCCGTTGTATATAGAATTTATATCCGTTTTCTTTCATTCGTATTCAAATAATGAAAAAGGCAATTCTCTTTCCATGATCTAAGTCGATTGGTGTTTGTGAGCCAACTATTTATTGGTGATAGTGGTTGCTATTTGTCGACAAGTGGCACATCAAGGACGTCTTGAGGAGCATACATGTAGAGTGCTAACCGGATCATAACATGTTTAAAGATATGGTGGTTGCCATGGTACCTGCATGATCAAAGTGAGCAAATGAGACGTTGACGGCCTTTGGCACAGTCAAAAACACCCCTCCGCATCAAATACATTATTGCTCTTCCGCTCTCTCTCTTTCACTCACTCTCGCTTCCTCCCTCACCCACGCACTCAATGCATCCCACCATTGCGCGATTCTCGGTACAATTGGCGCGTTCAACACCATTGACACGTCCAGCTTTGGCAGCAACGACAAGCACCATAAAAACGTGCAATCGTTTAACGTTTCCAGTACAGCGTCATGTCTTGACAGCACAACGAACGATGGCGTCGAAGCCTACACGAGCTGAACGACCCGGCAGTAAACCTATGGATCGACCTCCACGTGATGGTGAAATAACAGCGAGATTTATCACCTATGTGGATGCTGAGGGACAAGTAGTGCAACAACGGGCACCTCTCGAACAAGTATTACGCCAATATGATAGCAGCAAATACTTTTTGGTTCAAGTGGGTGGAGGACCTACTCCAGTATGTCGATTGTTTGAAAAGAAGGCCATGTTCGAACGACAAAAGGCAAAAAAGAAAAGCAAGCAAGTCAAGACACCAGAAGCTATTGTCAAAGAGATCATGCTTGGATGGAATGTGAGTGCACATGATATGGAACACAAGTTGAGACACGCCAAGCAGTTTCTGGATAAGGGCAACAAGGTCAAGATTGAGATTGTCAACAAGAAGGGACAAGTACGGCTTACACGTGAGGAGCAAAAAGAATATGTTAACCGTATTATGGAGCAATTGACAGAATATAAACCCACCAAACCACCAGCATTCTCAGGCGGTACTTGTATCATGCAATTTGAAAAGAAATAAAAGTCATATCCATTTTATTCAATCATCGTCATCATCATCAATATCATCATCAATATCATCATCAATATCATCATCAATATCATCATCATCATCGTCATCATCATCGTAATCAGTCTTCAATGCCTCAACAGCTGCGTAAATACCACGAGATGTGCGTTGGATAGCATCGACAAGTCCTTCCTCAGTATCACCATTATTGGATTCAGCAAGTGCTTCTGTCATGGCTGGTAGAGTTGTGGCGCTGATACCTTGATCAAGGCTTGGTGCGTAGATCACATGCTTAAACCAGGGCCGTCCCATCTTATTGTTTTCATCTTCTTGAATAAAGCCACGCTCAAAATACATGATCCGCTTATTCGTTTTTGCCAAACGCTTGGCTATTACACTTGGCAGCTCGGCATCTTTTATGTTGTTGTCGAATTCCTTGAGTCGTTCATCAAGTCTTGCTCGTCGTCGTTCAAAACGCCGTGTTTTCTTTTTCAACTTCTTTACGGATTTGAATAAAGGCTTGTAGATGCTACCTAGTAGCATTCCATTGGTCTCATAGAGAGGCAGCTCATCCATGTATTGGCGTATAGCAAATGAGTAGTCTTGTGGATACATGGGTAGTAATCGATCATCGGATAATCGAACAGCCAATAAACCGCATATCTTGACAAAGGTTGCATGGTATTCAAATGTAGGATCCCCAAACTTTTCCATCCAGTGGAAGCTGTACATGATCTTTTTTAGTATAAAGCACCCTTAAGATTTCTCATTTCTTATTACCTGTCATATGCACTATGCGCCACACCGTAATCGCCTACCATTCCCAAATCGACACTAGTAATTCCTGCATGGTGGAAAAATGCCGTGGCATCTGCACCAGCACCAAGGTTATGGATGTTGGGTAGAGGCTTTGATTCACCTTCAGTGTAATTGGTATATTCGCCCCACGTTTCATATACTGTTTTTGTGCCTTCAGTGCCTGGGGCAACAATGGAATTTGTAACTTGATATAAAAGTTGATGGAAAGAGGGTGCTGCAGCTGCTGAAAAGTACTTTCCAGCAACACCACCCACATTCAAATAAACCACTGCTTGTTGTGTGAGCCAATCTTGATTGTCTTCGACCCATTCAGTCGATCCAACCATTCCATATTCATGTGCATCCCATGATGCAAGGATAATCGTTCTACGGGGTCGCCAACCTTTGGATAAAAGGATGCCAAGTGTGCGTGCCAATTCCAACTACGTAATGTTGTTGACATTAAAAAAAGTTGTTTACCCTTGCTAGTAAAAATGAAGATTACCATAGTAGCTGATCCAGATGAAGCATCGGCTGCACCAAACACCCAAGCATCACGATGGCTACCAAGGATCACTGCATGATCTGGTTCTTGCTCTCCTTGAATGCGTCCAATGACATTCCAAATGGGTGTCACCTTGTCTTCCACGTGGTTGATAAGCTCAGCTTCACCCACACTTGGTCCACTGCAATAGACAACTTGTGCCAAACCACCTTGCCAACCTTCACCATCACATACACCGATGTTTTGTGTGGCACGCAAAAGAGGTAATGCGTCTCCATAGGAAATGGGAAGGGATGGGATTTTCGACATACCCGGTGACACGTCCCGATCAAGTCGTTGTGGTTGTTCTTTTCCATTTCCACCTTGTTCAGTTGTGGCTCCCCAACCAGGGGTACTTGGATCACCTGCCATCATGGAAATATACTCAACAGAATCTCGACGCACCGAATTCACAGGTCGCCTACGTATGTTACCAATGAGGGTCAATCACACACACACACAATGTAGTACTATGTACTTACCATGGTCCATCGGGATATTCCTTATCAGGGTGTGTGTAAGGATAACCTTGTTTATCAACAGCGCCATCATCCGCTGGATCGGTGTAGATTAATGCACCTACACATCCATGCCGTTCGGCTCCTTGCACTTTGATACCAGCAGCTACACCACCGCCAGAACGCATGAGTGCAATAGTACCCCGCAATTCAACACCTCGAAGCAAAAGGTATTCAAAATCTTGACGAGATCCATAATTGGCATATACCACACGGCCAGTAGCAGTTCCGTTTTTCGAGTAGGCTATAGCCAAGCGTTAATAGGGGATCCACCATCAAGTACTAGACATTGATTTTACCATGAAAAGTGGATGTGACATTGGGATGGCTGCTTGTAGTATCCTCGGGTATCGGATCTTCCTTGAGTTTGGCTTCGTATATAAATTCGGGTGGACCTGAAACAATGGCTAGTCGTTGTTGCACAGGTGATGTCAACAGCGGATAATAGTCGTGAATGGTAGTATCCTCAATGCCAAATTCCACCATCTTGTCACGAGTCCATTCAGCGTAACGTCGATCAGCATCGGTGCCTGCAAGGTGGGGTTCGGCTGTGTATGTGTGGAGAAAGTCCTTGACAAAAGAGGATGACGGTATTTCAATCACCAATTTTTCAGGATCGGTAAGGGGTTGCTTATGAGGAGCTATGTATAGTGTATAAGCAACGCAAGCTAAAAGTAGTATACGCGTAAAAAGAAAGAAAAACACTTACCATCATTACCCCTATGAACAAAGAAATACACAACGAGCGATATGATGACGATGATGAGAATGAAAAGAAAACAGCAGCATGATACAAGCCTAGTCAGTAGCCTCTTGATTGCATGTCGATCAGGGATACCGTGGCGATCAAGCAAAGGCGTGTATTCATTTGCAAAGCGAAGCAGCTTGTAAAGCCATGCATACTTTGCAATGGTGTGTGCCGTCTCTGCTGCTTCATTCAATAGGGCAGGGACGTCAATATGGTGGTGGCTATGATGGCGTTCATTGTCAGGAGGATGATTGATAGCTGAGTATGAGTTTTTTGGTGCCATTATGGCAAGAGCCAAAAGAACTGGTGATGCCTTTTTATATGTAAAGCAGCACGATACACTGAGTTTGGTATGTATACAAACAATAATGCATGCATCTCAGGTCACTCATTGCGCACAGCACCAAATGACGCCAACGCTTATACCCACAAGCAAGGCCACCCACCTTTTCACGTTTTAGGTGGAGCGACACAAGTAACGTCTGTGCAAAGAGCTGCTGCTGGGTACGTACATGCTGAATTTTCCCACAAGCAATAACCTGTCATCATGGCTCCTTCATGTACGATGCCAAGTGTTACTGCATTTTCTTCTCCCGAACATGTTCCCGCTTTTCCTTTCACATCGAGTAGGCAAATATTTATATTGAGCTAATTCCTGTGCCCACAGATGACTTGGCTTGCATTTTTGTATCAGAAAGACGCTACCATTTTTCCATACATTGCCCCTCCACATGATAAGCACGCATGTATGTTTTTCAAGTACAATGGTTTCGTTTATATTGAGAATAGAAGAAGAATGTAAAAGCGGATTAAAAGTAAATGGGGTAAAAATCAACTAAAATCAACTACTATATTATTCAAAAGCGAGACGCCAGCTTTCGTAAAGTTTCCTTGCGTGCCTCAGGGCTCATGTTTTCGATCAACTTGCTAAAGCCTTCAATGACAGCGTCTTGATCCATAGCACCGAGCACAACCACTTGTTCCTTGGTAGTATCACGCTTGAGCTTGTTGATGCGTTGTTCAATGGGCGTTGCATAGTTATCGAACCACTCTGCAACATGTCGATCAGCAATGTCCCATTGGCTCGTCTCGTTGTTGTTATCCTGACCAAACCACTGCTTCATCAAGCTGCACATTTGCTCTCGAGGCAAGCGATTGTTGGTAGCACTGACAATCTTGCGTAAAGTATACTCCTCGGCAAGTCTACGACGTACGCGCCAATAAAAGTAGTGTCGAGCATGTCGCCATTCGAGTGGTTTGCGAATCACACCTTTAGCTTCCATACGACCAGCACGATCATGCAAGTCGGCAAACTGAATAGCGATTTGCTGGTACACTGGTAATAATTCTTGTTCACGTGCTTCCAACTGCTTCTTGATCTCGTTCTTTTCTTCGGTCGACTTGCTAGGATCTTCAAGTTGTCGCTTCAGGCTTGCATATCGCTCATCAAGTCGTTCCATTGTTGCTAGTTGCTGTGCCTTGCGATACTTGATCTCAACAATACCTTCAGGCTCAAGCACACCTCCACGTGCTTCCTTATCGGCATACATTTCCATCATGTCCTCGTTGATAGTGGGATCGATAACAACCCATGCACCACCACGTAACTCGCCATTAGGAACAAGGTACACAAATACAGGTTGCTTGTAGTTGCTAAGCGCATCAACAATCTTGGCGCCATACTTGAGTACTTCATTGTACATGTCACGTTGACCACCAGAGAAACCACGCCAATTGGCAAATATCATCAATGGCAATTGTTCACCCTTGTTAAAGTCATTGATAGCTTGTGCAGTCTTGAATGCTGAATTGGGATACCATACGCCACCAGCTTCCATAAGCACTTGTTCAGTGGATTCGGCATTAGCAGGATCGGCAGGAATGATGTTTTCAACGGTGCGTGTTTCAACAGCGACAACGCCCATAGGAATTCCACCAAGGCGTGCACGACCTGTAACCACTGTGCGTGCCCAACCACTCAATGTTTCAACAAAAGAGTTGCGATCAAAGAAACCTGATAGCCATCGACCCCCTTCTTCTTCTTTGCCATTCAAAAACAAACGTGGATCCGAAGGACCTTTGGGTGGCATGTATTCAATTTCACGATCCACAGGGTCAACACCAATACGAGTAACAACAGGAGCATCACGCACTTCAGGCACGAATGACAACCACTGTACAATCTTGACAACGCCTTCGAGATCATTCTCAGCTGTCAAATGTGATACACCATTCTTGTACATGATCTGTGTGCCGCCAAGTTGCAAATTGGATGTGTATACTTCACGACCAAGCACCTTGTTGAGAGCTGGAGCACCCGTCAAGATAATAGGTTGGCCTTCATTTTGCACAGCACGTTGACCCAATCGCACCAAATAGGCACCGATACCCACAGAGCGACATGTGACCAAGGTAATGGTGAAGATATCATCATAAGCACGAGATGTAGCACCTGCAATAAGACCCGATCCTCGCAAATTTTCAACACCAAGACCATCGTTGTAGCCAATAACGTCAATGATGCGGCAACGTTTTTCACCATCTTCTTCAATCTCTTCGACGTTGACACTTTTTTGGCCATTGTTTTGCTGAGCGGCAATGGATTGATATGTCTCAGGGGTCAGATACAAATACTTGAAGCCGGCAGCTGGATTGGCAGGATCCTTCCATGCAGCCTTGAATTGACTAATGAGCTCATCAGCCAAACCAATACGTGCTCCTGAATTGGCAGACAAATAGATACGAGGGATACCCAAACTACGAGCAAGCTCTGATGCCTTGTAGAAAAAGGTATCCTCGGCCACACCAAATGAACCAATCTTGAAAGTGATATCATTCGCAATCACCACCACACGACGTCCCTTGGGGTATTCAGGTGAACGCAATGTCAATAACCATGCGATCATGCCTACAGTATTGGTTCCTGGAGCACGATCGATTTCTTGAATAGAGCCATCCTCATCCACCACGAGCTCTTTGCCCTCGATCACATGACTTGGCTCCTTGAGTGATGGATCCTGCGCGATAGCTTGTACCCATTGATTATGAATAGCTTGCTTGAACAATTCAGGGAAATCGTACACATAAGTGGTGCCCATAAGATGAGCCTTGTAGCGGCGAGGTTGAAGCCATTCTTTGGTTGGGTAAGGCGTGGTGATAGGTTGCATGTGCATAGCGCCTGGAATACTTCCCACTGATTTGTGAATCCATGTGCCCTTGTCAGTCTTGGCTTCTTGGTAGGCATCCATCTTTAGAATATAGCCCGATACATTGTTGACTGTAAATCGCATGGGGATGATAGGTGCATCAGGGCCATCACGTTGCGACTGAATGTTGAATCGAATCTCTGCTCCTGTCACACGTAGCTTCCAGAGGCGTTTTCCATGGCGATCGACAAATTCTTTGAGGGCGTGTTCAACTTGGTCAGCTTCAATAGCAAATGTTGGAATAAAGTTGATGAACAAGTGATTGCAATCGGAATTCTTGTATTCATGGCTGACAATCTCCAATGTATCCAAAATATCGGTCAACAATCGATCACTTTCAGATATCAAATAATCGGCTGTACGCATGGAATCTTTCACGCGACCTGGTCGTACCAATGCACGAATAAAGAAACGGCAATCGCTTGGATTTTCCTTAGCAACGGCATAGTACACGTGCATTTGCCGATTTTCAATGAAGCATGGCTTGATGTCAAAGTTGGAAAGACGTGCAAGCTCCAATTGATAGGCAAGAGCAGGTTCAATATGGCGGATGGTTTCATCTTCAACATAATCTTCACGCTCACGGAATGTGTAAAAATCGGGCCATTGGTTGGCACGGCAAATCACAATGGTAACACGACGTAGATGGGCACGGCGGAATGCATCTTTATGCTGTTTGATCACTTGAGCCACCTTGTGCTTCCAATAGGCATCATCTTGAGTCGTCTCGCTGTGGATGGCAATGTTGAGGATGTTTTCCATGCGAGCAGGCTTCTTGGTAGTAGCACCAGCACGAGCAGCCATCATTGCGGGTAACTCTTCTTCCTCAAAAGCAGTAAGGATGCGTGGTAATTCCTTTTCCATTTCATCAAGCGAGTGACATGCTGTCATGGCACCTGTACGTACAGGCTCTTCTTCCGTGTTGTTGAGCAAGAATGTCAAATCCGAATATGAGGCGATACGCTTGTTTGAATCGATACTGCGAGTAGCAGTTTGCATAAGGAATTTCCAAGCAACGACGTAAGGAGCATGTTCCAAATTGTACGCCACATCCAAAATCTTGTACGCATGATATGAACGGCGTGCGTATACTTCCAAAGCAGCGAGGGCAATGTAGGGTTCATCGTGGTAGAAAAAGTTGGGCAGCACATCAAAGACATTGAATTTGGTATCGACCAAGTCCTTGATCGCATCATAGCTAGGCGTACGCATCTCAATTCCTCCACCATAGACACTCTCGGTGACAGAGTTTCTCAAGATTTGCAACATTTGACCTTGGCGTTCCTCGTAGGATGGTAATTGACATAGGATCAACAGCTCACGTGCTTTGAGTGCAACTTTTTGAGTGGCGCGGCTATCGATCTCTGAAAGTTGCTTGAGAATAGGTGTAAAGAACTTGTCGAGGCCACCACCAACACCAGGTGAAATGAGGTCAAGCAAAATGAGCACAAGGTTGTTTTTGCTAGACACCTTCGCATGTGATAGAATAATGTTGAGCACCTTGTCCAAATCATCCTTGTGTTGATCACGAAGGGAGAGCACAACTTCCTCATCACGATTCTGTTGTCCGCTGAATAAGATCTCGACGACATAGTATTGCTCAATGAGCTCCACATAGACTGAATACTCGTGATGCTTCAATCCTTTGCTGTATCGCTCAAATACTTCCGCCAAAGGTGCTACTTGAGTCTTGATGGCTGATACCTCGGCATGTGTCGATGCATGTTCACGTACATATGACTCGATCAATTGCAAAAGTTGCGTAGCTGGAAATTCATCGCTGTTTGTTTTGAGGCACTCTTGGAAGCTTTGCTCGAGGCGAGAAGGCATACGGCCCGACATGGATGACATAAGGGCAGCAGTCTCTGAGAACGGCAATTGTGGATCACGTAAGACTTGAGACAAGTCCTTGACAGCTGTTTGCACCAAAGCTTGGTTGTCATAGCCTTGGAGAATGTACTCGAGAGCACGCTTAGTGGCACGGAATCGTTGGATGGGCTTCTCGCCAGTGATGTGAGGAGGACCAAAAGCAGGAACAGTACCAGCAAAAGGCAATGTCTTTTTCACACGTGATGGATCATCAAGCGAGAGAACACCAATAATGTCACCAGCTTCAAGGGTAGCACCCACTTGCTTGATGAATTGAACGCAACCATCTTCTTGAGCGAGCAATGGCATGTACATTTTCATGACCTATTCGATATGCATGTCAATTACTTGCCTTTACTATCTTCCTCTGTTTTCTTATCTTACCTCGATCTCAGCATATGCTTGACCAGCTTTCACATGTTGTCCATTCTCCAATAATAAGCTGACAAGTTTGCCAGGTGAAGGTGAGCGTAACTGTGTTGGATCCGATTCCTTCTCGAGTAAACAAGTCTTGCCATCAATCATAAGACGTGTAGCTTGAACCTCGTCACGTGAATAGGTGGTGTATGATTTGCCGCCAAGAGATACCAACAAGCCGCCATCAGTGAGATCACGCACGCCAACTTGTGTTTTGGTGCCGTTCAAATATAAGGTATAAATGCTGGGTGCTGATTGAGTGACTGTAAAGTTGTAACGATGATCCTCATAGATGAAATCCACAGTGAACACGGTTTTGAGCATGTCTCTACCGGGGACTTGGCCACGTTCAAGGCTTTGTTTGTACTGTTTACGGCATTCTTGAGACAAGGCATGTGCTTTGATAACAGCACCACAAAACACGGCAAGCATTTGATCAGGTCGTTCGGCTGTCAACTTGGTTGAAATGAGCATATCAAGCCATCCAGTATTGATTGTATTCTCTTCAAAGTCTTGAGTCTCCAATAAACGAATGATGTATTCAACTGTTGTACGAAAAGCTGCACGAATGGAGATTTCTTTCAATGCCATGACCATATTCTTGCGAGCCTGTTGTCGATTCTCTCCATAAGCGAAAATGTGACCAAACTGTGAATCAGCGTATTCATGCAAACCACCAGCTGATGCAACCGAAAAATAACCCCAAACATTGGTACTGGATCGGAAATTGAGCTCATGCATCATTCCAGAAGAAGGCTTGAAACCAGCATCAGGATTCTCGGCAGTGATGCGCACAGCAATAACATGTCCTTTGGCTACTGGACGACGTAGCACTTCAAATGAATTGGGATTGGCAAAGTCGAAATCAATAGGAGATGCGCTGTTGTGCTGTACACCATAAAGCATGCGAATATCGCGAATACGATGAAGAGGGATACCCATAGCGATTTGCAATTGAGCGGCTGGTAAATTGACACCCGAAACCATTTCAGTGGTTGGATGCTCCACTTGCAATCTTGGATTCAACTCCAAAAAGTAGAAACGTTCATCTTGATGGCTGTACAAATACTCAACGGTACCAGCTGATACATATCCCACAAGCTTGCCAAGTCGTACGGCTGCCTTTTCCATTTGCTCAAATACATCAGGCTTGGCAATAGTAACAGGAGCTTCTTCAATGATCTTTTGATGACGACGTTGTACTGAACAATCACGACCAAACAAGCTGATAGCATTGCCGTATTGATCAGCCAAAAGTTGCACTTCCAAATGACGAGCGTTGCCAGCAAGCTTCATGATGAAAATAGGAGATCCAGGGATTTCACCTTGCACTTGATGAAAAGCTTGTTTGAAGCTGGCAGCATCCTCCACTTTACGAATACCCTTGCCACCACCACCTTCAGATGCTTTGATCATGACAGGGAATCCAATCTTCTCAGCCGACGCAAGACCTTCTTCAGCCGTTTGTACACATGCATCCAAATACACCTTCTCTTCGACCAAAACATGGCCTTCCTCCGTTTGGGCTACTTGGCTGATACCATCACCGCTCCAGCTCATGGTTGGGACATTGGCATGTTGTGCAACAATAGTAGAAGAGATCTTATCACCCAAGGATCGCATAGCCGATGCTGGTGGACCGATAAATACACACTTGTTCTTGCTTTGAGCTAACATTTCTGGTAATCGTGGGTTTTCTGATGCGTGGCCCCTTTTGGATGAAGAGACTTCTATTAGAACAAGCCATGTAGACACCTATTACAACAACTTACCATCCTGCCCATACAGCATGAACACCACTTCTTTCTGCCACATCCACAATCAACTCAACATTGGCGTAATTGTTGTTATTCGTGCCACCAGGGACTTCAATGTAATTGTCGGCCATGCGGATATATTCGGCGTTGACGGATAGGTCTTCTGGTGTTGCCATCACTGTAAACTCAATAGCTCGCTCGTCACCAAACGTCTCATAGGCCCACTTGCGTACAGAACGAATCTCCTTCATGGCTGCCATGCCATTGTTCGCAATAAGCACTTTGCTGATCACTGTATGTCCTTCATGTGCCTGTACGAAATCGCGTACTGCTCCTTGAGGCGCCACTTGCACCGAATTGCCACCTTGAATAGCTACCATTAGTACATGCCATTGTGCTCTTCAGCTACACGTGTCTTACCGAGGAAATGGCTTGCGACATTTGTACGATCGACCATAGTCTAGTAGTATTAAAGTATTCAAGCAGAAGAGTATGTAAAATAAAAGGTGTAGAGAAGAAGAGATGCAGAAATGGAAATCGGATGATGGTATGGATGAGAGGATAAGGTGGTATTAATGCAAACTAGCAAACAACTGTGTGTGTGTATGGATGCGTGTTTGATGATGATGATGATATGAAGAAGAGAAGGAAGAAGGATAAAGAGATATCTGGGTTTGATAGCTGCTTTGTGCGTGATCCATGCCATTGCCCAACGCGATAATCGGGTTGTAACACATTGACCCCAACCTCGGTTACGGCACAACGCATTTTGGGGCCGATTCCAACTTGCTCTAAAAAAACAATGACATCTCGTTGGGGTATCCACACTTGTTAAACATGGAAATCCTGGGGGGATTGCTATGATATAATATCTTCATGATCACCATGTTGGGTCTTTTTTGCATCCTTCATGACCTCTATCATCCATACAATCAATGCATGCCATTTACGTGACCACACATCTTTATCAAAAGACCATCTATCATATGGGAGCTGGCTGACAGAATCAATGGTACTCATACTGCATCAAAGCTGGGTTTATGTACATTGGTAAGCTGCTGCATGATTCTCTCAGGAACAAGCTGAATTTAGAAGCGACTTTTTGTGTGAATGGGGATCCTTGCAGATATTCCTTGTGATTTCTCTTTTTGAATGCTGCTAGGACCGCCGTGTTTATTGAGTATGAAAGTACGTGATACTAGCCTAAAGCATTCAGTGGGTTAAGTAGTCCCTTCAATCCTCCCATGATGTTGACCATGTCGTAGTTATGGCATCCACACATCAAAGACAGCAAGCATGCGTCCAATAATACGAGAGCAATCTCAACAATGAGTGAATCACATGATATCATGTCAAAGTTTTGGCTATAAAACAGGTTTTGGTTGCTACTTTTAAAGTGGCAGTGGCAGTGGCAGTAGTAGTAGCACAAAAGATATGCCAAGAAGTAGAGCAGTGCCTTGTGAAAAGGCTCACTTTGATGGTTACACTATATGCTAATGCAATCGTTGTTTACAATCAGGTGGATGATCATCCTCCTCCATCTTGTCAAGTTTGAACCATGTGTGCAGCATTCCCACTCCACATTCAGCGTATACATACATGTTGTTTTGTTTGTTATGGCTACAGTAGCTTTGTTTATGGGATGAATGAGCAAGATGGATACAATCATTAGTGTTTCATTGTTCATGGATGCGGAGATTGGGGATGATTTGAAGGAAAGAATGAGGGATTTCGATGCTAACGATAAGAGAAAAAGAGATAATAGAGAGAGAGAGCGATGTTGATAATTGCTACTGTTCCCCTTGAAATGCTGCATACACAATATTCGATTTCCGAAGGATGCAGGAGGAGCTGACCAAAGCCCATAGTAGAGTCCTCTGGATATGATTGCAGGCCGACTTGTTAAACTGCCGTTCAAGAAAACACACGACAACAACAGCAAGAATGAAAACAAAGACCAGCTACTGAGATAGAATGCATCAGGGGTAAAATGGGAGTGAGGATAAAGTAGAAAAGAGAGAGAGAGAGAGAGAAATGCATGCGTGCGGATATTCTTTTGGATATGGAAGAACATGAAGAAGAAGAAGAAAGGGTTAGAATAAGAAGTAAGGGGATGAGGAGAAAATGAGGAGAGAATAACCGGGATCAAGAAGAAGATGGTTCATGGATGGCACCTTTTAACAATGATTCATCTGGGGTGATGGGTGGTGAAGTAACATAGGAAGTATGTTGGTCATTGTTGTTGGTCGTATCCTTATCCTCTGTGGTAGTAGATGCCGTTGTTGTTAAGATGGATTCACTGCTGGGAGTGGCTAAAGGCAATGGAATGCCCGGAATGGATGTGGGTTGATGATGAGGTGCCGGAGAGGGTGTTGTGGTATTGGAGAGGCTCTGTGCCAGTAAATCCTCGTTGACATTGAGAAGTGATCCAAGATACTCAGCTGACGGACCCGATGTACTACTTGATTCTCTGGACGACGGCAAGTTGAGTGCACCCAGCCATCCTATACCAGCACCACTATCATACCATGTCCAACAAGGAGTGGAATCAGTTACCCATCGGTGGCGTCGATTGAGTCAAGCGCAATGTAGTTTACCTTTCTTCCCATTCCTTGCCCATTCTCTGCATGACAAGTTCAAGTTCCTCACGTTGCTTCTCTAAAGCTTCCAAGCTTTGATCATAATCCATCAACGATTTTTCCATCGAACACAAAAAGAAACAAGGAAAGAATAAAAGAAAAAAAGGGACAACAAAAGTAAAACATGGGAGCGGATGTTCAAGTGGTCTTTTGTCTATAAGCATGTAAGCCAAACACTTGTCATTTTGATATCACCCCCTTCTCCACACATACATGTTATTTTTTCTCTCTCTTTCTCTATATGCAACATCACGGGCATTCTCAGATCAGGAGAAACTGGGCGCGCGCGGAGCATGGTGAAATTGGGATAAAAAGTACCCACCACACGGATATGATCTAGGAGAAACACATGGCTGCATTGGGAACAAGAATCTTTTTTTATATGCACTGATGTTTTATTCATGATATGTATATGCAATTGAAAATAAAAGGAAAGAAACAAAAAAAAGAAGAAAAAGAAGCTTGCTATTGTTGTTGTATGGGTTCAGATTTGGCTTGAGGAGACGCGTCAAGCACCGCACGTAAAATATCGCATCGACGTTCTAGCATACCAAGGAATCCCTGCATTTGGTCGTTGTTCATTTGCACCAATAAGGACAAGAAACGAGCATCCTCGGCATCCATCACACTAGCGGCAGTAGCCATTTGGTCCTTGACATCGCCTTGATGATGATGATGATCCTCTTCCTCAATAGCCCAATCCCTGCGACGACGTTGAATCTTGGTCTTGCGCATTTCAATGGGTCGATCACGATGATGCAAGCGAGAATACAATCCACATGCATTGCATACAGGCTCACCACGATCATTTTTACGCCAAAGAGGAGTCTGGGTTTGATGACAATTGGCACATTCCACACCACTGTTATTTGCATTGGATGATGATGATGAAGATGAAGATTCCTCAGTGGATGATGATGTCTTGTCGATATCCACCATCTTGGTAGTACCTTGAGTGGAAGTTGGCTGCAACAAAGGCAAAGTGGCAAACATCATGGGGGCAACATTGCTTTGGGGTGATGATGATGCTGTAACCGATGATGGAGACGACGATGGGGCCAAGACACGTTCTGAGGCATAAGGATGAGTGCGGAGCTGACTCGTTTGCTGGGTCTTGTGACGCACATGCAGGGGTCGATGTTGGTTGTACTGCTTGTAGTAAAGACCGCAAGCATTGCACAAGGTATGAGCCCGATCCGGAGTACGTCGCCATAAAGGTGTCTTGGTCACCTTGCAATTGAAGCATTCCAATTTGCGTGGGGGTCGTGAAGTCTTGCTGCTGGCAACCTTGATAGGAAAGGTGGATTGACCATGAGGAAGAACACGTTGCTTACGATGAGAGGGGGGTTGCTTTTCCTTCATGATGGGAGATGTTGATGGCGATGATGCACTACCACCAACAATAGCTGCACAAGCTGCTGCTGCTGCTTCTGCTACCGATGTCTTATCCGAAGGTGCTGGTGGTGGTGATGCGGGTGGTGTAGTGGGTGCCATCTCGGTATCCTCAAGCTTGATGAAATCTTGTTCCATTTGGTTGACAATAGCAGTTGGATCCACAAGTCCACTAAAGTCATCAGGTGACGACATGAGTAGGTTGTGTAAAAAGTTGTCTTGTAAAAGAGTTGTTGTTGGAGAACCTTCAGCACTCGACTGTGGCGATGCAACAGGTGAGGATTCGAGTGATGAAGTGGGTGGTGATAGGAACGGCATTTGATCATCCGTTGCCATGGGGGTAGATTGGTCTTGAAAGAGGTTCACCAGAAAATCGGACTGGTCCCCTGTGGGTTGATCGAATGATTGAAAAAACGTATTGAATGTATCGGTGTTCATGACGCTGTAGCTGTTGGCTGGTGGTGGTGTTGTTATTGATTGTGTATGTTGGTAACTGAATCTTTGTCTTCCTTGTTTGCTCGTGTTGTATATATCTTGGGCGGGGGCGGTCTTCTGTATCAATCGACGTCGTTTCCTACGTGCTTTCCGTTGAACATGTAATAATAGGCCATCTTGATGTTATTCTTAAAAAAGCGAGTATTCGGTCGCTAGGTCTTTGGGTTTATAAAAAAAAGTTACTTAAGGTGCGGGGAGCAAACGGGAGATTAGAACTTGGTGTGCATCTTGAACTCGATGCACAATACAAATGAAACAGGGGAGAGATGAGAGTGTTCAGATAGATAGAATAGTTAGAGAAAAGGTGGAGCTGATATAGTTAAAAAGAAGCAGGGTTGTGTGCTTGACAAAGTGGAGCAGGTGAAATAAGGTAGGAAGAAGAAGCAAAGGGAAAAAAGGAACAAGGAGCACGCTTCTAGCCCTAATAATGAAAATTTTTTCGGGCCTTCGGGTCTTTCTTCTGTGTTTCAACAGCTGCTTTTGCCAGATCGCCACATAGGCTGGGGTAGCTTGGTCATCAGTCACCTTGTAATACCTTTGTATACATTCACACATGCAAGCTTTCATTCATATTCAACATTTTTATTCATTCAATGTGTAAATGAAAACGAAAAGTTGTATGCCTTTGTCGTCAAAGAGCGGCTTACCAGACTTTTTCCATCCGAGAAGAGTGGCACAGATGACTCAGTAAGACCCATATATGGTAAAGCCCACGCTTGCATCATATCCAATCATCAAACGCAACAATGGATATAGCTCGTTGAGCTGAACTTCCCTCACCCGATATACGCAATGCCCCATTAAGGACGGCTACTCGTAACGCCGCGGATACCTATCGCTTCTTCCACTCAACACGTGTTTATCGCATTGACGTATTGACAACACCATAGGGATCCTTTTTCTTTTCCAGACTCAGTACCAAAAATATGTGCTGAATAACATGGTTGAAGAACGCGTCGTTGCTTACCATAATGTGGTGTGCTCCGCTCTTATCTTATCGCTGGCCTATTGGAGTTGCAAATCTTATTATAGTAGTCAGCTTCGAAAAGTGGGATAGCTCCTTCCATCCCAAAGCTCAATACGCACATGCTTGTGCATGACATTCATGCTCCCAATTTTCATCCCATTTTCCCAAGAGCAGGTGTCTACCTATTTTCTATTCATGTAAATGATGGATCTTGGCAATAAACTTGTATCTTGTATGCTTCCCTATATTGTTGTAGGTGGCGTATCCATGGTAACGTTGAAAGCCAAAGTGAGTCAACAATGAACCGTTTTCGGATGAGAACAGGCATGTAGTTGTAATCCAAACAAGGAGAATGGGTACACTATTTTGCGTGTGTACGGCGAGAAGTATATAAGCAAAGCATCAGAACAAGTACATATTAGACGTGGATTTTGTTTATTTTGAGAGAAAAGGGCTATGGACGATATAACCATACACGAGCTGATGAATGGGTGGGTACATGTTATTCGCCTGTTCCTGTAGCAGCTGTGGTCAGGCCCAACTTCAATCGATCCATAATGGTACCAGTGTTCTTCAAATGCGATCAACTGCATACTTGCTATCAATAAACGCCAAGAGGCTTTCACTGTGTTAGATGCAGCAAACATTAGGATGGTTGTTTTGCATGTCGTACAATTACGGCTGACAACAAGCATAATAAAGCCGCAGCATTTGATCCCATTCCACTTCATCAAGGTTCGTCACCATTGGGTTCATGTCACATTATCATCTCCACCAGGAATAGGCAACCTAGCCAATCGAGATTGGTAGGGCGGGTATCACACGTATGTAAGGTACTTGCGTAAGCTTATCGATTCTTGCTACCAGAGTATACTACATCTTCGTTTTGTGGGCAGTGCCTTGATGCCTTGCGTTTAATAACGTCTCGAAACGTTCTGCAGCATGACCAAGAAGGGTCGAATCACCCAAGCCGATCTTTGAGCAAATTTGTTGTGTGTCGATGATGCCTTTTTCAAGCATCAGGTTAGAAAAGGATCATGCTTTGATAATGCAGGATGAGCATCGCAAAGGCCTATGACAACACCGAACCACTTCAAGTGGCCAACAAAGGAATGCCCTCTGCTTTGCAGATGTTGCACGAGGAACACGAGTCGCTACAACATGATTCCTTTTTGGAAGCGACTCGCTGCTTAAAGAGCTTGTCAATATACAAATCAAAATAAAGATACAAAAGATGATCATACATGTATTACAAAAAAGGATCCATCAAGGAATAGGTCAAATGGCATGAAGACACAAGCAATAAAGCTATGTTTTGACCATAACGGCTCACCAAGAGCCATCGGTAAAGCCACTAGATGTGATGAATGAAAGAGATGGATGATGTTGTTGATGGCACAGCATCCTTGTTTATACATGCATGGGCGTGGGAATTGTTGTTCTTGCAAGAAAAGGGAGGTGGTTGATTGACCATAGTGTGATCAACCACTTTTACCACGTCAAAGGAGTTGCAACATTGAGTGGCAAATCCACCTTTCTCCTTTTCGACTACCGCCCAGAAAGGGAAAGCTTTATAGAGGACATAAAAAGTGCACAGCTATAATAAATGAAGCCTGCTATCATCAAGTTACCATTGTCTTTATTTTATTCGTGTTCTCTCTCCATTGCTAGCTGCGACAAACTCACAAAAAGAGCTTACAGTATAAGGTCCGTGTCTACATATATAGTGAACTACCCTTACGTAAGGGGAAAAGGTATCTGGGAAACTTGGGTTTAGCTATCCAAAACATCAACTTTTCGATCAAACGGCAAGACCCTCATGAAGATTATTCAAGAGAAGGCGGGGGTAAAGGATAGCGGATGAGCGATTGGTCAGATCAAAAAGACGCATTTGTGCCTACCCCACACTGCTTTGTTTAATCACATTCTTTCTTTCATATGCTATGATGCATCATTCGTCCCACATGTTCGCATGACAAGCTCCGCAACACAACCACCTTTTCTCACTTTTGATCAATGCTTTTGTATTCAGTGTACATTATCCGTATATCCAATGTTACAATTTCACATCTACAATGACCATAATACAAGTATTCTATTATAAACCAATACCATGACATCTTATGGGAAGGGAGGGGAAGGGACCCAAAGTGGTGGTGGGAGTCACTTCACGTGAAAACAAGTAACCAGTAATAGACAGCGGACTAAGCAAAAATCCCAATTTGCCTGAGTCAGCATGATCGAGTACAAAAAGGGCTCTTGATTTTGCAGCTTTCTTTATCACTGTTATACCCCACAACAACATCAATAATGGCTTCTCGTATCCAACAAGTCTCTTCTCACCTTGCTCCCTCTGACAATGTCGCCAACAAGATTGGTGTCAAGTCTCCCGAGGACGTTGTCATTGTCTCTGCTCTTCGATCGGCCATCACCCGTGCTCGCAAGGGTCCTTTCGCTGAGGCTCTTCCTGAAGGTAATTTCATAACTTGAATGGCAAAAAGCAATCCCATTAATGTTCTTGAACGTGTATATAGAAATCCTCTCTGGTGTCTTCCAGGGTATTTTGAAGCAAACCAAGATCAACCCTGCTCTTGTCAATGATATTGCTGTTGGTAACGTCCTTCCCGCTGGCGGTGGAGCTACCAATGCTCGTATGGCTGCTTTGCATGCTGGTTTCCCTGAGACTACCTCTGTCAACACCGTCAACCGTCAATGCTCCTCTGGTCTTCAAGCCGTTGTTCAAATCGCTACTGCTATCCAAGCTGGTTTGATTGAAGTTGGTATTGGTGCTGGTGTCGAATCCATGACCCAAAACTATGGCCCTCAATCCCTTGCTCCTTCCTCTGACAAGATCGCTGAGAGCTGCCCTGCTGCTGCTGATTGTTTGGTCCCCATGGGGTAAGTAAACAAAAAGAGTGTGTGTATCATAAATGGGATCATGTTGTTGATTGATGGTGGTGTATCATTATAGTATCACCTCCGAGAACGTTGCCAGCGACTTTGGTGTCACCCGTCAAAAGCAAGATGCTTTCGCTGCTTCATCCCACACCAAGGCTGTTGAGGCTCAAAAGAATGGCTGGTTCAAGGAAGAAATCGTTCCTCTTGAAGCTACTATCACCGACAAGGATGGTAACGAAAAGAAGGTGATCGTTGATCGTGATGATGGTGTTCGTCCTGGTACCACTGCTGAAAAGCTTGCCAAGTTGCGTCCTGCTTTCGATGAAGAGGGTTCTACCACTGCTGGTAATGCTTCCCAAGTCTCTGATGGTGCTGCTGCCGTTCTTTTGATGAAGCGTAAGACTGCTCAAAAGCTTGGTCTCCCCATCGTTGGCAAGTACATCACCTCTGCTGTCGTTGGTGTTCCTCCTCGTATCATGGGTGTTGGTCCTGCCTTTGCCATCCCTGTTGCTGTTGAGCGTGCTGGTATCAAGCTTGAGGATGTTGACATTTACGAGATCAACGAGGCTTTCGCTTCCCAAGCTGTCTACTCTGTTGAGAAGCTCGGTGTTCCTTTCGAAAAGGTCAACCCCAAGGGTGGTGCTATTGCCTTTGGCCATCCTCTCGGCTGCACTGGTGCCCGTCAAATCGCCACTTTGTTGCCCGAATTGAAGCGTCAAGGCAAGAAGATTGGTGTCACTAGCATGTGCATTGGTACTGGTATGGGTATGGCTGCTGTCTTTGAGAGCGAGTAAATCCATTCAACAACATCACGTATATATTCGCACACACACACGCACACATATATATCTACAAATTCATCCACCACCTCCCATCAATATCGATTTCCTGTTTTTAATCCAAAATGAGAAAAAGACTCGCACACACACCTCCGTAGTCTTGTGTAAAGTAATAAATGAAAATACATACAAAAATACCATGTTCTAAATGTCTTGCAACTCATGAGCTTGTCAGTGATACCATGCAGTGATCAAGTATTGTGATGAAGGTGCCATGCAACACACGCAAACAACGTCTCATTGTGATAGCCACCATGCTTATCCATGGTCATTGTGAAGGTGTCTTACTATTCTTTCCTCCTTTTCTTGTGATTACCACCACGCACATATAAACAAGGACGTTGTCTCTCACCATTCGATCATTGATTGCTGGCACATTCACAGCCCAAGCTGGTGTGTGTATGTCATGGACATTGTTATCCTACTTTCATTGTCCTTGTCGTTGTGATATCTGGCTCTTTAAACAATGCAATACCAAATCGTTTTGCTTGATGAAGCGCATACTCACATTCCATTTGATGTAGTTACCTCCCGAGATGCATACGCAAAACTGGATTTGGTGGCACATACCACTGCAACTCGCATGATGGTGATGTAACGCCTTCCGCCACGGACACACTTCTTCCCAATCATATTCATCTTTTGCTCATAATCCCAACTTTGACCTTTTATATACGAGAACCCAACATGGTTTGCAAACTCCAACCCCCCCCCAAATTGCCTCGAATCTCTATTCGCTATGGAAGAAACGATTAGCTGATTGCCGGTGTTATGGGAATAGATTACTAAGATTTCATTATTATGTTGTATACAATGCTCGTTTAATGGAAAGTCGAAGAATAGGATGTGGTAGTGTGGGTGCTTATCATCTAAGTAGTAGATATGAAAAAGGAACAGGTATTGCAAGTTGAATAAGGTATAATTGAATCACTTGGAGTCGACGAATATCATTTTGTCGTTGTATCCTTGGTTGCTGTCGTCATACACATCTTCACTCCATGAATGCAAAATAGTTGATGTGTGTCTTGACTCGAACATTCCAGTACATACCATCCATTGCTGTAGAACGCCTCTCGTCAATGTCATCCAATCAACCATCATCCTCAACAGTATCCATGTGACATGATCCATCCTTCCTGTTGACAACGTACCAAGTACTTGAAGCAACATCCAAGATTTCTCATTGCTCCACTTGAGTGCATCCATCCATCCATAGCCATTGCAAGTCCAATATTGCTGCTGATATGCATCCTTTTCCATCCGGCTGTTGATCAATCCACTGCTTGGGGACATTGTATCGCAGCTCAACCACGTGAAGGTGCTTGTAACGAGGTGTACTTGATAGCCGATATGGCATCATCCATTGGAATCCGTATGCATTAAAGCAAGTTGATACACGTAAAAAAGACTGTTCCCATGTGATGACTATTTGCTGTTCACGTAAAAAAGGCTGCAAGTAACTTGAGACAATGGAGTAAAGACCTCGCTAATAGCAACTGCTGCGATTGGTCGTGTAGAGGAGAGTGGATGAGCGTGTGTTGCAGTAGAGTGACAAGGCCGTGAATGCTGTTTGATACAATGGGCTAAAGACCTTGCTAAAAGCAATTGCTGGAATGAATGCTGTTACAATTGGTCGTGGCAGGGAAGCGTACAAGAGCGTGTGTTGTGTCAAGAGACTCGAGTGTTGTAGTGGGCTGTACACACCATGCACTTGCCATTCAGTCAAAGACAATCGGATCAAGACATTCGTAGCATTTGACAAGATGGGCTGGAGCAGGACAATCGTGCGCAGGTGGTAGTTGTATACTTGAATGGGGCAACAGTTGAGATTGCGAAGAAGAGGCAAGGGGCTGAGAGTGGAAGAAGTGGAAATTAAATAGGGCGGACACCTCTTGTATAAATGCATGAACACTGTACATCACACCTTGATATTGAGATTGCCCCTCTCGAACCTGAAACTTTCACACAAGATGCTATTGGACATGCTGATCAATATTGCTCGCATAAAGCCTCGACACATCATTATGAAAATTTGGAGAAACAAGTACCCTTATGTTTTTCCTATACTCGCTTTGAGCGTCATGCTACACGAAAAGTGGTCTTTGTTCATTGTCCAGTAGCAGCCGCTGATAGAGCAAAAGGTGCAGAGGTGTGTGTGTGTAACACAGCCGAAAGACGATCAATGTTATTGGTAGAAGAGTGCATGATGGATCCTTCCCCTTAGTAGGGTCCGCCTATGATAGCCCAGTATGGAATAGTTCTCAATGTTAAGCATGGTATGGCTAATAAATGGTCCAGTATACTAGAAAAGAGGATGCTTAGGATTAGCTTGAGTAAGGAAAGGGTGATGGATCGCTATGCATTCTAAAACTACACATCAAATGCAAGAGAAAACAAGTCCGAAAGGCTTGCAATTACCCACCTTCTCCATTTGCACCAAGCCACTGAGAAATAGGCTCACTCACCTTATCCAGCCATGGTCTTGTTTGCGAGTAAAATATTAAAAAGTCTAGTTCTGATGACTTGCAGCCTATGAGCTTGATTTTTCCCTCCTCTATATGCGAAGGGTGCATACGTAAAAGGATTGTTTCACCTCGGGTTTCTAAAAGGGCAATTGCACTTAATTGAGTGCGGGATCCATCATCAGCGGAAATTGATGGGGCTGTGCAAATGTACAACTTGTAGCATTAGTAAATACATACACGAACGCCAATCTCTTTGATGATCGTACAACTCCCAACAAATGTCGACCACTATAACTTCTCTTGGAAACGATTGCGAATAGCCCAATTGCCGATAAGGGTACACAAAGTCCTAGATTTACATGTCATCGGACCGAAATAGGGACAAAGGAGCTAAACGTTTTGAAAAGGTATCTTACCATGTGTCCGTCAATGCGGATTACAATGACGAAAACATGTTAATATAACATGCGCGCGCATCATACACACAATGGCCACACATACACACCATTCATCTCCTTTTTTTTACTCTCCTCATCTTTGGGAAAACGTGGCGTTTGCCTGGAAGGATTACCCCCCGCTTTTGGGCAAATAAATTGACGGGTCTGGGGCACAAGTGCAACAATAATCGGAGCAAGGGGTATAAGGCACAGGACACAGCATTCAGAATCCATGGAAAAACATCGTCGGCTAGGCGTTGTTTACAGTGGTCAATATATCTTGTGTCACCTAATTGACCAGGAGGGCGACACGCAATTGTCAGAATTCGCAATTATATAAAAGACGCTTGATCCCCAATTGCATTGGCTTCTTTCAACATAAATTTTTTCATCTTCCCTCTCTCTTTATCAACGCTGGTCGTTCTTTTTTGAATTATTCAAACAACCCCCCATCACTTTCATTTCTATCTACAATTGACAACAATTAACAACAATGCTTCGAATTGCACTTTTCCTCGCTCTCATCTTGGCTGTTTTGTCCGTTACCGCTGCACCCGTCTCCCTCGAAAAGAGACGTAAGAACTATCATGGAACTGCAACTTGGGTAAATTGAGAATTGCATGTAGCATAGAGGCATCTATATACTTACACCTCAATGGATGTATAGTTTGTTCCCGAAACTGAAGGCGGTGTCTATGGTGCATGTGGTCCAAAGGAGAACAGCAATTCAATGATCGTTGCTTTGAACCACAAGCAATACGGTAACATGAACAAGAAGAGCAAGTGGTGCGGACGCAGAATAAGAGTGAAAGGTCCCAAGGGCTCCGCTACTGTCAAGGTAAGGCAAAATACAAGCAAACCTCGCCTTTTTGCGCTAACGCTTATAACACATTGCTCAATTAGATCAATGACGCATGCCCTGGTTGCAAGAATGGCGATCTCGATCTTACTCCTAAAGTGTTCAAGAAAGTGGTTGGCGACATGAACAAGGGTGTTGGCAAGATCACGTGGTATGAGGTATAAAGAATATACCAACCTGGTCAACATCTCCCTTGGTTTAACCATTGACGCATCCTTTGAGACCCCATATATACTTTGCACAGTGATCCCTCACTCGCTCTCTCTTATCTTTCTCCCCCTTCGCCCCCATCACACTCATTTGTATCAATATCAATCATTTTTTCCACACCACATTCTTGTACACTATACTTTTGTCTTTCACATGTACCACCACCAGACAAAATATTTACGAACAAGATTGCATCAACACGTCAATGCACGTGGTGATGTCCATTTTCAATATTCATGTGCAGTCATGTGCCGATATTATGTATGTATAGTTTTCAGGTGCACCTATAATTGTATCATCAGCAGCAAAGATGAAAGGGGGGATCATCGATGATCCATCACACCTACATATCTGAGGAAGTGGTGGATGCTGTTACGTTACAACAATGAAATCACACGTGAATCAACAGGTTTTGTTTCATCAACTCCTTCTTGTTCTATACCGGGTGTTTGCAAGGAATGGGGCTATGGATGGTCCAAGCCAAGTTATCACTCAGCCCGTTCACCCGTAAATGTATTGGTCTGTTGTACGGGTCTAGCCGCTTATCCACAGGTGCCTGGTAAATGCATCCAGCACAGCGTGAGAGCTATAAAAAGTATACGTGTGTAGTAAAAGGGGTGAGGCAATATTCTTTGGAAGCTTTCCATGGTGTTTGTTGGCTGTGACAGCAGCAGCAATAGGAGTATGGACACAATGAAATTATCAGATCATCATTGTATTGGCAGGTGGCGTGGTATTGATCACTCCCAAGAGCAATGTTAGGATGATACTATAATTACCATGATGAAACATGGTGCAGTTTTCTTTCTACTCCTTCCATTCGATGCTTATGGACCCATCTTGCATGATGCTTCAAGGAGAGGAGATGCTTTCATTATGACTATTGCTTTCATTATTGTATTGAACCTTGTTTACAAAGATCGGTATTTGGGGGTTATTGTGAAAGAAGATGGGTGGTTGCTGCTGTCCTAGATGTAATTGCTTTGCTCTAAATGCCGATACAAGAGTGAATCAGTGATGCTGGGCAATGGTGTCGTGGCCTAGGACGAAGGTATTCAACGCAAGAGCTGCCACCATCGTCATGGCCGAAAAGAATTGGATGAATCATTCATGATCGAAAAGGGAAAAAATCGACGTACAAGTTGGGATGTCAATAACTGCCATGGCTCAAGACCTCCGCAAGAAGATAGAATCTCATAGCTATTGCTCAAATACCTTAGCATTGACACGATTGGACTTTTTTACAGACACCAAGTTTGGGTATAATGTTTGCCAAATGGTTATCCTGTTACCTACTTTTAAAAAGCCACCGCTACTTCCATTTAACATAGTGATTGTGAAGAGCTACATGGTGTCTACACATTATTAATGTCCTATACGATCCTACACTTACCTTGCTTTTGATCTCTGTAATCGGCCTGTTATGCAATCCATGTGCCGATCCTAAACAAAACGTGATCACTGACCAAAAAGTACTTTTGAGGGGTGTCATAGGCGCAGCTCTGATCGGCCATTTCGAATCAAGAATCACAGGAAGCTTCCCTTTTATAAAAACATGCTTGGCGCTCATAGTAGCCATCTGCAGCTATGTACATGTTAATACCACCACCATGGTCATTCGCTTGATTGCTCTCATTCCCTCCAAAAGAAGAACGTTTATTATAGCTTCCTCATTAATCACAATATGAAGGAGGTATGTATGCAAAATAGTAAGTAGGAACGTACCAACGTATGAGCCTCTTTACCAGGTACAGCCAACAGCAACAATGACGGTCGAGCCACTTCGTCATCAATCATTGTGGCTATGTTGCACAAAGCTAACCACATGAGGTTGTTTTTTCCTTCCAGCTTGGGGTGTTGATGCAAAGAAAGTGGGTTGGCTTAATCCTAATGACTACATAAGCAAGGCCAATGTTCCTCGTCCCATACAGAGTGCTTGTTATTGTTATAGCCGTTGGCCACAGGAACAAAGACGATCAATACACTTTCTCGGGAACAATGATATTTTCCGATTGAATGATGCACATGGTATGCTGAGCTGTCTTCAATTCTTGGCAATGTTTGTCGCTAATAGAGTATCAAGCGGGCAGTGTAAGAGAATGTTCCATCTATTGGTACGTGTAAAAAGATCGTAAACGGCACAAACAAGAGAATGAGAATATTGTTAAATAGTCAACGTTTATTTCTCTTCGTTAACATATAAACAAGAAGGACATGTAAACAAGAAGAATACAAGAGTTGTTGTTGATTACTATCGGAGGAGATTAGGCATCATTGTGAGCTCATCGCCTGCTGGCAAAACGGCTGTTCTTTCCTCCTTCCATTGCACGTTCTCCGCCAACTCTATTTTCACCCTTCTTTACAAAGTACCCTTTGAAAATGACCACCATCGCCGCTCGTGTCAACGATCGAGCATCACAGTATCAGAAACTATCCAAAGAGCTTGCACGAGAACACGAATACAACCTTGAGCTGGAAGGATGCACCGCCGAACGAGATCGTCTCACTGAACAAATTCGTTCCAAGCAAGTCGAATTAGGCGCCCTCATTGAAAACTCGCAAGTAGACAACTGCCTCTTTTTACAAGTGGATACACCCAATTAAACTTTGATGATCATAGGAAGAAGGAATTTGATGATGTGCGCAAGTTGCGTCACCTGTCGTTAAGGTCTGCAGCAGCTACGTTGACAGGCAAGAAACGTGAAAAGACAGCCATTGGACAAGCCAAGTACCAGCAAGCTTTTGACACTGAACAGCAATGCAAACGTAAGATTGAGGAACTTCAAGCTGAATTGGGTATCGTGACAGACAAGGTATTGTGTGGTTTACTTCCCTCCTCTTCCCCCCTTTTTTTCATGCAATGCGCATTGACGTATGGTTTTCCTTCCCCGCACATGCTCACATTGCATTAATAGCAAACTAGCCTGGAACGGCAAATGGATCACATACGACAGACAAGAGAAGAGTTGAACCGCTTGTTGGATGAGGTACGTGAAATAGAGGGGGAACATGGGTGTTCAAGTGACCCTCACACGTGTGAATTTGTTTTTAGATCTTTGATGTCAGTGATCCCTCTTATCCTTTGGAACCTCAATTGAAAAGCGAGCTCGATAACTACATTCAACAATCGGATACGGTGAGTATCTCTTATTGTGAATCTTTTATGAGGTATTCATACCAAATTGTATAGGCTGCACGAGATGCCGGTAGATTTAAGGATGCTGAATACAACTTGGATCAGGCCAAGCGTGAAATGAACAAGACGATCCGCGCCTTGGATAGTGCCATCAACTATGTCCCCTTTGATTTATTTGGTGTGAGTATGATGGATGAACATCAAGCTGCATGTCTGGAACGTAAGTTGGAGTTATGAATGCTGTAAAGAGATGGGCCGCTAATGGATCTTTAGTATCAAAAAGACACGCCTGGGAAGCTCAACGGCGAATGAACATTGTACGACAAGTGCTACCTGAGGTTCCACATCCAGAGACACTCGACACTGTAACGAACAACATGGTGCTCAACAATCTACAAATCAACATGAGCTATGTGGATGTTGCATGGAAAGGTAATTGAGAATCCAAAGGATGGCTATCTTCAACACGTGCTTATTTTATACACAGCCAAGGCACAACACACATTCGCTTTGATTGCTACATGTCGACACAACGCTGACAAGTCTCTTCAATGGATACGGCATTACAAGCAATATGCGGAAGGAGCACAAGGACGTCTTCAAGTGGCGATTGAATCCACAAGGAATGCATTGCATAATGAACGTCGACGCATTGTGGATGGTATCTTGTCTGGTCAACCAGTGGATGGGTTTGGTGGCACCTCTTCTTCCGACTATCCTGATCAACCTCCACCCATGTATGAAGCACCACCACCAGATACAAATAATGCAGCTGCTGCACCACCAACTATTCCCCAAGACGCTATGCTATCACCACCGTCGCCTAGCAACAGTACTTTATCCAATAATACACCGCCATCCTCATCTCGCCCATTATCACATCCGCCACCACAAGTATCACCTGCACAACCTCCACCACCACCGTTAGCTAATGGAGATCATATACCACCAGCAACCCCACCCAAATATAAATCACAAAACACGCATAATCCTTTCAGACAATAAATTCCCTCCCCCCACCCACCAATAGAATGATGAATCTTGATTATACAAGCAAACGTGGATATTTTTAGATTTTATTATTGCATTGCTTTGTTGATGTGGTGTTGTGTGGGTGTGTGTGTGAGAGAGAGTCATTGTTGTTTGTGAAAACCTTACTTGGCGACTACAAGAGAGATGATGATTGATTGATTAGTCATATGCCGACGCGTAGCGCATGGTTGAAATTTCCACGCGATTCGATTTGATACTTTACCACCAATGACACCGCAAGCCCAGCGGTCACCAGCATTGCCAGTGGTCAAGGAAAGTTCATGACCACCAAGACCAAGATCATCTTCACCAGCGTGAACGACGATGGTACGGCTATAATAACATGGTTGCGTAAGAATGTCGTGTATGTTATATGTTATGCCAGTTGAAAACATACCCAATAACAGAGTGGGGACCAATCAACTTGACTTGGCTATCAGTGATCTTCAAGGTAGCCTTGCCATTAGCATCGGCAACAACGTTGCCCAAGTCACCAACATGACGCTCTTCAGCTTCGGGGGCACCGTGCTTCTTGCCGAAGGGGTTGAAGTGAGCACCAGCGGAAGTACAGCCTATGATAATTGTGATGATACATATGAGTAAACAGATCCTAAACATCAAGGTTAAAGTGCCGCACCCCCCGAGGTGGGGATATTCGGCTAGCACATACCGTTGGTGTTGTCACCAAACTCGTGGACGTGGAAACCGTGCTTGCCCTCAGTCAAACCAGAGACGGTGGCCTCAACGGTGGTGGGAGCATTCTCAGATTCTTGAGTGAAAGTGATAGTGCCAGTGACAGGAGAATCGCCACGAATAACTGCAACAGCCTTAACCATGATGTATGAAAGATAAAAGTAAAGTGAAAAAAGAAGCAAGAGAAAAGGTGCGTCAGCCGCGTCAGTTTTTTATGCTTTGAATTCCCCATCTCTCTTTTACTTCGGCCCCGAACATATCCGGCGAGACGTCATCGGTTTCACAAAATTCCATCACTCTGCTCATTAATGGCATAAGGTGTTGTGTATGCATTTGTTATCACTTTCTTTACAGCTCACACCAATTACTAACTGGCACACACGAAAAATATTTACAATTTGGACATATCTAAAAGCATCAACCATGATTAGCTCAAGCCCTTTTTTTACCCACTCGCCTTCCTTCCTTCCTTACCGTGGTTGGATCTGATACCGAGTAAAACACGTATAAGCATGATGCAAACACAGCCACTGCTATGCTTGCTGCAATAGCCCGTATACACCATTCGATGCATGAACTTGTTTTACGTTGTGGAACGAGCGCACACCCCATAATGATCCCCATGGCAAGCCCACCTACAATAGCATGACCCATGTATTAGTATACGCCGTATGTCACAATACACGCACGCGTTTTTTGTATTACCAAGATGACAAAAGTTGTCAATGTAAGGGAAGATGCCAAAAACGAAGGCTATTGGTATGGATAATAGCACACATAAAAGTCGTCGTTTTTGCACCGTGTCGGGATGAAACGCCATATCCACCAGCATGAACCCTGCTAATCCTACCAATGATCCCGTACACCCTGTCGACACTATGATGGATCATATCAGCGATCATCTTTTTCATGATTTGGCTTCTTGTTTATGCAAACATGGTGTTACCTGCAGTTGCTGGGCTGACGAGAGCACTAAGCACAAACCCAAACGTGCCTGGCACGAGGTACAAAATGGCAAACCGCACGACGCCCAGAGATCTTTCCAACCCTGCACCGATCCAAAAATGAATCACGAGGGCAAGCACGATATGAATGAGACCTGCATGAATGAATAATGCACTAAAAAAACGGAAGCCTTCTTGGGTGTTTTGGCATAATTCGACACATGATGGATCGGTGCATGAAGGTACTGAACGCATACAAGGGGTATATCTTGCTCCAGTGATAATGAAGACCTAAAATTAAATCATTGTCATAACAACGACGCACACACACACGCCACAATAGCATATCGTCAATAATAAACAAAAGAGAAATCGACCCCATTGTCCCCTCCATTGTTTCAGTTTTTGCCTTTTCCCCCTTTTCCCACTACTTACGGTGGATGATGGGCCGATGAGTGGATTGAACGGAGCTGTTTGAATCATGCTACGTGCAAGATCTAGGCTTTTGGCATATTCAAAGATCATGATGATGATCATTGTGGCAGCTGATGCCCACGTAAACCATGGCCTGAGAGTAGGTCCAAACATCAATTCACGTAAACGCTTTGATGGTGCATCTTCGCTTTCTTGAAGTCGCATAAAGCCGTCATGTCGTCGTGGTTCACGTACGCTGTGAAGCTCCACAAATCGTGGGTCATCCGATTGGATCAACGTTGGCGTGGATGATAAGACGGATGCTGTATCGGACATGTGTTGTACCATGTTGGCGATAATAGAGTGTGCTGTGGTGGTGGTGAATGAAAAAAGGATAAAGGGCCAGGCACCACAAAAGATGCGACAAGCGAAATAAGAGCGAGAGAAAAAGAGAGAAAGCCAAAACCAGAATATCTATAATCAGAAATACTGTAATGGGTGGATGTGGTTTATTGTTTATGTAGATGTACACTTGCATAATGTTTTACTCCTCTAGTCTTTGTGGCACAGTGGCAATGTTAATTTGGCTGCTTGTATGATCCTTGTTGCTTTTGCCATGGAGATGACTTGACAAGGTGTCAATGACTTGTTGCGGTGGTGGCCATGCGTTCATGAGACAAAGGAGAAATCTCATCACATAGTCCATTAGGAGCATGATGTTAAAGTACCACTCCCACGTATTTACAATAAAGAACCATAAGTAGATTGTACCATAGAGCGTTGACCATGACGTTTCAAGAGTAAGGAACCATATCTAATATCGAAAAAGCCAAAATGAGCACGTATAAATCATTGTACTAGGTCAGCAATTGAAAGCTTACACCATAGGCCGAAGCTCGGATCGAACGAATCAATGGCAAAAACGCGAATAAATAAGCACATGCTGAAGATACGATTGCAAGACATACACCAGTAATGAACACAGGGCGATATGGATATTGATCTGTGGGGTGAGCGCCAAGTATGCCTAGCTGCACAACGATGCATATGCAAGATCCGATCAAGAAAGCGATGCCGGTGTATGCTAATCCATGGAACCAGCCAGGGCGAGTTTGTAAACGTAAACCAATATCCATGACGAGGTAAATGCGTATAGTCATCATAAGTGCGGTGGATATGAGGTATGTCAATGAGTTCCATCGATCATCAATGATATCCTCAAAGGCAAGCGTGTTGACGATAGCGCAAGGTAAAGAGAGCAAGGCATAGATGACAAGGAAGGTACGCAGCTTTTTGGGGTTACGAATAGCCTGTATTGTCACTAGGCATGTCGCAACAAAGCATAGGGCGTTTGTAACAATGAAAGCCGGTGTCGCAGTTCTCATCCATATACAAAGAGAGATGAGAGAAAGAGAAAGAGACAAGATAACAGTTTCCCTCGTTGGATGATGAGCCAGGAATGTGGCTGCCATTTTTGCTTGCATGCTCTTTTTGTTACCATCACTTTTGTCATCCCCCAATGTTTCTTGTGTCACATCCAGCTTTCGAGTGATGGCGGTCCTTGCGTATAAATACATACACAGATATACATCCCCAGCTCAAAACAATGAGAAGCCCGACACATGGCAATAGCGAAGATGACTTGTTCCACCACGTTGGGGCAACACAATATGCCATACACATCTAGAGCGATCCTCCCATATTGCAATGTACTACAAGTAGATGCTGATTGATGCGTGTTGTAGTGATGGAAAGAGCACAAAGATGAGGATCCATCCCCTTACGCTAACCTTCCTCGTCTCAATAGTCGGGACTTGTTACTGCAGATTCGATTCAGGGGGGTATTCCATGGCAATAGCAGCTTCCTTTCTTGATGAGAATCGGGCATGACAGCCGCATTACACATCACTATTGTCCCACAATTGGTGTCCACAAGGTCATCATCCCACTGCTAGCTTTTCCCATTTGACTGCTTCTGGAGAAGAAAAATGGTATCATCCACTTCGGCTCCTTGACGTTGTAAAAATAAACATCGACATGGATCAGCAAAAAGAAAGAGAAAAGAGGTAGAAATCACATGCATTTGTCATCCACAAGGAGATTGATCGCTTTGTACCGAGCATCTTGGCCTTCTCGACCTTTCATCAGTTTAGCTTTAACTTGCCATGCAATGGTTGTACAACAGCAGCTATTATCTTTTCTAAGCCTTGTGTACCAATCCTGCTCTTCTGCAAGACCAAAATTAGTATGATGCATTTGATGTCCCATTACAAATTGTTAAAACGAAGCTGCTCAGCTTCATTCTAGAATGCTGCAATACGCTTTCATGGAAAGGTAGGCTATCAGCTAGCCTTTGCCGAGCAAGTCAATAAAGATGATAAGAACGTATCCACAGCAAGTCAATGAAGCACAAGATTTTGTACATGTAACACCGTACCTCCTTTCTTTCAAATGGAAAATGAGCCAAAGCTGTGGGTGTAGATATCGCATTATGCTCACAGAAAGAGTAGCTCGATGCAAGAACCACTTAGCAACCACCGCCTGGATACCCGCTTTGTCTTAGATCGCACAGACCATCGAAGGTAACATGCCTTCGCCGACGTTTCGGCTTTTTCTTTTCGCACTTTCAAGTCTCATTCTCGTCGCTCGTTTTCTTTTCTTCTTTCATTCACGTACAAGAAAAAAATGTTTGTGTGAACACCGCCATCACCATACGCTACATTTTCAAACAGCTACAACAATGTCAGGCCATAATCCAATGCTCTTGTTGGTCTTTGAATATCATACGTCTAGGATTGTGTCTATTGTAATGTCATAATGGATGCATTCCTGGATGACTACTGATTCCATCGTCGGCTCTTTGTTATGGACCTAGGAATATAAAATCGGCGAATGGTTGAGAATCTCATTCCGAAGTTATCTCTCTTTTATGCTATTAGACATGAAAGTTTCATCACAGCCTTTCAATCATTGACGAAGCAAGATACGAGATCTTAACAGCAGAAATTGATACCATTGTCACTTTTCGATACACACACCACGCATATGGACATCATTCATACGTACGCCAAGTGACCCAATACCATCCTTTGTCTTTAAAATGTGCCATGCTCAGCCATTGACAATGTCAGTTGTGTGAGAAAAAAAATCCATTGTTATCGTATTATATGGATGCAAGCACGTTTTTAATAAAGGTCGGTCGGGAAATGCTGGAGACAAAAAAGCTTATGGTTCCTTTTCATCTTGGTACCTGGCGTAACACGAGCTAATTCAGCAACATCTTCTTCCTCATTTACACACGTACGATATCCCTCTCCTTCTCTACCACCATCGTTAGAGTACAACACGCACATACCCATTTCCTCTATAACCGCGTGTAGTCGCATTATTAACATCCACCTATTTCTCTCCTTGACAATTGTCTCCTATCAGCTCCTTTCTCGCCCAACGTTAAAGTGAATACCCAACGCACCACCAGCACTCGTCCCTTGCCCCTCTTTACTCATCACCGACATTACTGCCCATTGACAAACACACACCATGGGGCTCATGACCAAGCTCAAGACGCAGATTGACCTGTGGAAATTAGAAAAGTATACCAAGCGTCGTCATGTCGCCACTCCCGACTTTGAACAGAAAGGTAATATGAGCTCTCTACTGCTATTGTGTCACAAGAAATGATCGAGATTGGATGATGTGGGGGTGTGGTGGTCATCACAAGGAATGAGCAACAGGTATTAACAAGTTATTATCATCATCATCATGTAGACCGAGACTTTTACAGGCATTATTACCAAGATGGGGTGTACCTGCATCAGCATCAACGATCAGCAGGTGGTGGTGAAGTGCGCTCACCCCCATCATCACCCACCAGCAATACCAAGGGTCTTCATCGGAAATCTACTATGCTTGGTCGCAAGAGTGAACACATTGTTCGATGTTCAGAGACGTACAACTACTCCTAATTGACATTCATATCTCCTCGAATATATATACACACTCACATACATCCACCTACTACGCCACGTTAAAACTTCGCCCATCATCCCCAACCCCTAGTTTGCCGCCCGCCCGATTGTACAGAAGCGAATAGACTAGCTGCTATTGGTAAACTGTCATTCATTTGTGTTCCTGTTCCTGTTCCATTTTCCTCTTCAAGCATGTGCCAAATGTCAAAATGGGTGGCGTCATCTCCTAATGAATGGTAGTGATCGTGATTGAGTTATCCACTTCTCTTACTACAGTTGGAAGCTATTATGGCAAGGGCTATGGTGTGTGTGTGTGTGGGGGCAAAGATCTAAGCGTGTGCACAGTGCTTATTGTTGAAGGTGCCAATGACTTTGAACTTTTGCTTTTGAATCGAACAACGTCTTTTTTTTCAATGGGGATTTGAGTACAGCAAGCGAATTATGATAGCTGATGGATGCTATTGCTTGATGGTGTTGGATTTAGCCATCTTGCTTAACTTGGGACCTGATTTATGCTTGGACAATCAACCACGCCAAGGCTTTTAACGCTCATCATTCTAGTCCCACTCTGATTGTTGACACCTTCAAAGCCATGGGTAAGTATCATGGTGGATGGCCTTCTTTGTGAGCAATCCACGTACTCATATTTGCGATGATTGTTATCCTACTTTCATTGTCCTTGTTGTCGTCATTGTGGTAGTTGACCCTTTTATTAAGGTAAATCCTAATCACTTTGCTGAATGAAGCACATGTTAACATCCCTTTTGATCTACCTCCCGAGTTGCATCTGCATGGTGCCAGATTCTAGTACAACAGCCTGCATGGTGATTGAAACATCTACTACGTTTGTCATATGATCATCATATGAAAACGAAGCCAAGCAGTGCACCGAGCTCCCATACATAAGCATGGATCTGTTTTTGAGAAGCGTTGCCTGGATGCAGTAACCCGCGTGTGTCATTCAATTCATCCCAACAAACTCGCTTCCACGACGTTCCATGCCTTTGCACCACCTTCATCAGCATCCACCACACTCTACGCATCAAATGAATATAGATATGGAAGCAGTACCGTTTATAATAAAAGCAATCCTCTTGTTTATTGTAGTATGTGAAATGTGTGCCAGCAGCAGCAATGCTTACTGGTTGGGAAATGCTGGGAGAGAGGTGGAGCAGCAATTATCAGTTGAAAATGTAGGAGCGGCATAGTAGTTGTTGACCAACGCTACTCTTCCTCATGTCTGATTTCGCTTCCAATCCTGATGTCGACGCTCTATTCGAAGACGATCCTGGACCGATTGACACCATTGATGACGACGACGACGACGATTTAAAAATTGACGACGCTGAAACCAAAGTCTGGCTCGTTAAAGTAATACACCCAACCCATTCCTACCCAACTACCACCACCACGTCTTCTCATTCACACGCACACACACCAACACCATGCGTTCGTTAGGTACCCAAGTTCCTTGCGCAAAAGTGGAAAGAGGTTGATCAAGACGACGTTAACCTTGGCAGCGTACGAATCTATGAACAGTAAGTCCATTGCACTGCCTTTGGTCTTTGGGTGTATTTGTCTTACCTAGAATCCTTCTTTATTTGCAGACCACCCCCAGGACGATCGAGTAGGGTAACTATCATATCATAGCAAGATAGAATGATGATGAATGTATTGCTAAGATGGCATTATAGATTTCTTTGATCTTACCTGAAGGCGAAGCAACGAATATCCCAAAAGAGTACTTGATTCATATCCCACCAGCAGAAGCAACGAACAAGTTTGTATTTACAGAAGGAGAGAATGGAAGTAAGTAGAATAATGAGCGTGTGAGAGAGAGACACAATACATTTATGCTGTGTTGCATAGGTAAAACAATAAGCGGCACCGTACATCACGAGTGCACGGCAACCCCAACACATGTGGATTCCTACCGAGGCATCATGCGAAAGAGAGTCATGGAAGCAGAAACACCACAAAGGAGTGTGCAAGAGATCGGCAAGAGCAATCAACCCATGTTCGTTCCTGGTGCAGGAAGTGCGTTGGCCAACACTGGTTTCTCTGATTTCACTGTATGTGTTTTCTTGTTATCGAGAGGATGTGTGTATGGAGATCTCATACGTTCTTGGTAGCCATCGAAGCGACAAAAGACAGACAACAAGGAGAAAGCAACACGTATGCCACGCAACGAGCTTATGGACGTTTTGTTTGTTGCATTTGATCGTTATCCTTATTGGTCATTCAAGGGTTTATTGGAGCACATACGACAACCATCACAATACCTCAAGGAAGTATTGAATGACATTTGCATCTTGAACAAGCGTGGACCTTATGCTGGCAACTATCAGCTTAAACCTGAGTATGTACAACGATCTTCGCAAGCTGAACAATCGAGTGGAGCAGCAAAGGATTCAGGAAGCCCATCATCTGGTGATGAAGATGAAGACGAGGAAGAGGCTATGGAAACCATTCATGTGTAGTGTCTCTCTAGTGTAGCGTATCAGTAACTTGTCAATAAAAAAAAGGTCTCATTGCCAAGAGAAGCTTGATTCGGGATATTGGATCCGAGATACTTGTTTTGGAGGCACACATTGGGTTATGCTGGAAGCGCGCTTTCTTTTCTTTGATACAGGTCCCTCTTTCCTTCCTCAACACCACCAACACCAATGACTATATATTACTCTTTGACCTTCGCTCTCTTGGTTCTCGAGGTATGTTACTATCGTTTGTCCTTATTCACTAGACCGTCTCACAAGAACGCTTCTAGATGGTGACCTTCTCCATCTTGGTGGTAATGTACAAGCAATCTATCCAACTTTGAACGTGTATATTGAAATGACTACCAGCTACCACTCCCATTGCGATGGCGTCACGCCATGATCAAGGCATTCACTAACTCTCCTGTTGTAAGTAGTTGTCCTGTTATTCTTTCCTGGGAAAGAGTGCTTATCTTCCATGTTGAATAGATCGCCAAGGCTCTTCATACCCTTAAGATTATCTTTGCGTAAGTAGTTCTCGGGATCATGCGAGGGTGAGTGGTTTATTGACATTGGATGACTATTAGATTTATCTTTTTGCTCTTTATTGGTATGGTCATGATGATATGGGGGATATTCAGGTATTCAGTGCGCGTATGCTAAGACAAGGTGTCACTAGATACATTCAACCGATTGCAACGCATTGCCGAGGAAGTCGAAGAGGAAGCCGGCCATCATCATGATTACAGCATCGAAGCCAGCATTCGCGCCAAGCAGTTTTACGCACAACGCAACTTGTATCTTCTCGGTTTTACCATGTTCCTTTCTCTGTAAGTGCTTGCTTGCATAGTTTGTTTGTGATAGCGTGATGTTTTGCATGCTTCTATTTCTTCCTCAGCTAATTGAATGACATGTGATTGTTAGTATCCTTGAGCGTACCACAGCCCTCTTGATCGATATGCTTCAACGTGATGAGCAATTGCAGCACATGAAGAAGGAGGTAAATACATCTTTGATTATGAGGAAGGCAAGTGATTAATAATGTACCATCCTGATAGAGTGCCACCGCTGTTAAGGATCAAGAACGTCTCGTAGAAATTGATGCATCATACCAAAAGCAGATCCAAGAACTCAAAGATCAAATTGCTGAATTGAAAAAGCAAGGTCCTGATTTTGAAGCACTCAAGAAGAAGGCCGAGCAACAGGCAACTGAATACGATAGTCTACTTAAAGATCGTGACGCTTTCAAGCAAAAGTAACAACAACATCATCATCATGTGCAAATAAAAAAAAGTTGCTATTGACATGTCATGAGGTGTAATACCAACAACGTTGGAAATGAAAAGAGTTCTATATACAACAAAGGTTTTTGGATGGGATGATCTAATCCTTCTTCTTGTGCTCACCAAAGACGTCGTTGGAAGGACCAAACATCAAAACAGGATCACTACGAAGACTATAAGTATAAAGGTACCAGACGACTTTGGGGATAAAACTTACCAAGTGCGCACAGGGCTGGTGCGACCAATCTTTGTAATCTCCTCAACATCCTCAGGATCCATCTTGAAGTATTCAATGTTGGCCTTGATGCGTTCGGGAGTAACCGACTTGGGAATGACTACAATGCACACATCAGTGGGCTGCACCTTTATGCATAAAGACAACGCAAAGCTTACCGCAATAACCACGAGCAACACCCCAATTGATCAACACTTGCACAGGTGTCTTGCCATACTTTTCGGCAGCTTTGAGGACCTATTGTAATGAACATGAGATTAGAGTTTTGTAAATAAACATGTGTTTATGATACATACAGCGGGTTCTTCAAGAGTCTTGGAGTGGCCAGTGGAAGCAAACCACGAGAAGCCGGGGTTACCGAGAGGGGAGTATGCAGTCAATGCAATGTTGTGCTCGTTAGCCCACTTGAGCATTTCTTCTTGGGGCAAGCTGGGATGGATTTCAATCTATGAGGTTGCATTGAATTAGCTGTCAAGGCCTTTAAAAAGTCCACATGTTTATGTTTACTTACTTGATTCATGCAAGGAGGGATTTCAGCCTTTTCGAGCAACTCCTCAAGCATGGGGATGGTGCAGTTGGAAACACCAATGTTACGCACAAGACCATCCTTGACGAGCTTTTCCATTTCACGCCATGTGTCGATAAGAGGAATATCGAGGACCTTGAGATCACCATTCTCATCCTTTACTTGAAGCTTATCATGCTCATAACCATGGAATTCCCAAGCCATGGGCCAATGCAACATGTACATATCAATGTATTCGAATTGGAGATCCTTGAGCGAACGTTCAAAGGCAGGACGCACATGCTCGGGCTTACGGAAAGTACCCCACAACTTGGTAGTGACGAAAACTTCTTCACGAGGGACATTGCTCTCACGAATAGCTTTGCCAAGCGATTCTTCGGTTTGGTCTATCAAGGGTGGTTCAGTTGGTTACGCTCATATCGCATTGAAATGAAAGTTACGTACAAAGATAAGCAGTGTCAAAATGGCGGTAGCCACAATCAAGAGCAACCTTGACAGCCTTGTAAACCAAGTCGGGAGCATCAGCACCACCAAAGGTGCCGTAACCGATCTGGGGGATCTCGTTACCGTTGTTCAACTAGCAAACAATAAACAAGGTGTTATTTGTTGATTGGCAGCACTAATAAGCAAATCGAATAGCAAGAATACCTTTTTCTTGGGGATATCTGCAGCCATAGTGATGTGTGTGATGGATAGTCGGAAAGAAACTGCCACAGAATTTTCTACTTGCGTTGCTTTTAAATGCACCGCGTGCTGGGATAAAGCGCTATCATGGTCGCATGACGTAAAAGATGCTCCAAACCCTTTCAAACCCATGACTTGGAGTATCCAAAATGGAAAAACAAAATGACAGCCAACCATTCATCCTCCCTCGACATTCTTTACTATGCTATCTTTTCACTTGATTTCCTATCTGCAATGCTACTAGCTTTAGACATCATGCATTTGGGAAGGCTGAATGCTCACTTTTTGATTTTGAGCAGAGACGACGTGTCGTAATTACATGCACCCAGATCTAGCCATACGATAAGGCTGATCTTTGAGCTGTATCTCAGCCGACTTATCGCGTAACATCTCTCTCCAATCTTGACAAAACGCGCTTCTGGCCCAAATTGGAGTCAAGCCGACCGAAAAAAGTTTGTGCAACATGCTTGACATCATCCGCTGACAGATGAGTCTTAATTCGATATCGGAGTGAAAACCTACTCGAGTCCTGCAACTCGTTGCTTTGGGACGCGGGGGACGCCGTTATAGGAGTACGTGCTTTCTCAAGGTAGATCATTAGATTTTACCCTTATCAAAAGAGTCAATCATCGCAATGGCAACAAAGGCAATGGAAGTACGATAACAATGAAACACGAACAATCATCACAAAAATTAGTACTTGTACCACCCGCAAAAAAGATTACTACTGCTCCTCACATCAACGTGGGCTTCGAAGGTGCCAGCTGAAGGGCGACAATGGCCTCTGTATTCCTGTTACCCCACAACCCTTTATTCGATCTGTCCTTTAAATCGCGCATTGGATAATTGTTTCCGTTATCAATAGTCAACATCGCTGGGTAGTTTAATCGATCCATACGTCATTGATTCTATGATAGCCTACTACACTAGCTTGACTTGTTGCCTAGGATACGAGTTGTTGAGCTATTGTTGTAGCCATTTACCATGCAACCATAGCACAATACATACCTTGTCCTTAATGCTGCTAATTGCCTTTGTCTCGAGGTAGAGCAAAAATAGCAATGATAATGATCCTTGTGTATGCGACAGCTTCCATGCGGGTTGTTGTGGTGGATGATAACCTGTCGACTTTGCGTTGTTGATATTCCAATGTCCAGAGTGAATGCTGCTTGATCTTCTTGTTGCCCTGTGCCACCAGCATGTCGTTGCATCATCATGCGGTCGTTTGTGCTACAAAGACGCCACTTTTTTGATCGTTGGAGCAGCTGTGATGATGGCCCACCCGCAACTCTAGACATTGGAAGGAAGGTTCAATCGCTTTCATATTCATCCTCAGAGTCGTCGTATGTGAGTTGCTCAAAATTGACCTAGTTGTTATCATTGAATCAATAAATCGTGATCGCCATGGCAACAGCCTTTTCCTTGTTACCTTGTAACGCAATAATCCTCCAATACCACCAAATCCTTTGACAAATTGTGAGCCTTCTTGGGAGCGATTGGTGATAAAATCCAACGTAGCGCCATAATCTTTGTATGTCTCAGTGAACCATTCAAGCAACGGCATTGAATCCACCAATTCGGCTTCGTTGTTGGTTGAAAGCACATTTTCTTCCTGGTCACGATCCACATGCACCACTTCTTCAAGCTCATGCTCAGGGCGACGAATCACGTATCGCATCATATCAAGGTTTTCCCATACAATGAGCCGATCCACAGCACCCATTTCAAGAGCTGCCAGGGTATCGTTCAATCCGTAGCAGAATTTTCCCGAGTCTTGTGATATCTCGTCAAAATAGGTTTGAATCAATCGTTTCTCTTGGACAAACTTGACATTGGATAATGACTCAGCAGCGAGTGCGATGGCCTGATTGAATCCATTTTCACCGCCATAGGACACATCCACTACGCGGATCACCTTGGAAGAGAGACGTGCATCAAAGAGATCCGATTGGGCAAGCTCGTTTTTAAAATCGGCCGATCCTGCCAACACCAAACCTGCAACATTGGGTCTGTCTTGGGTGACAAAGAAATCAGTTGCCAACTCGGCCACCTTGCGTATGTAATTGTGTCGCTTTTCTTCACGAAGACGTGCAAAACGTACAGCTGATTGACCACCACGACCATGCTTCTTGGGTAGATCCACCGAGAATTTGTGCACCACTTGACGTGTGTTGCCAGATAAAGTGCCAAAGAGAGTGCCGTTGCCATCCATCACAATGAATCCAAACTTGGCATCCGAATCAAGCAATTCTTGTAGCGCCTCGGTGTGGAATTTGTTGTCACACAAATACAATGACTTGTTCAAAGGCTTATGCGGCTCAAAGTCGATGTTGACCTTTTTCTCCTTTCCTTCATCGGTGACAATGGTACCACAGTATAACACCAATCCGTTATTGGGAACTATGTTTGGGACAATGGGTGTTATCAATATGGACTTTGTTGATTGCTTGTTTTTCCTACCTCGATTGTAAAGTTTCAAACGGTGTTGGGTAGATGTAATGGCACTCAATACAGAGAGACGATTGACACGGGATTTGATATTGGAAGCAGTGCCATATTCATCCGTCAACATCCTTGTCATACGTGAGAGTTGGTAATTCGGCGCTATCATGCAAGTGTCAGCGCACATTTACAGCCTTCTTCAATCATGTCGAATGCTTACGAATGATGAGAGATATCATTGAGGTGCCATTCCTATATACCTACATCAGCATACAAACAGCGTCAAACAACGTTGCTACTACTACTCACCCTCTAGCGGCTTCCAGCCCCTTGATGAGACGCTTGACCTTCCAGATTTCAATATTCTCTTCAGCTAATGTCGTTGAATCCTTGGTCATGTTGGAGTCGATGGGTCAACAAAAGGCAAGCAAACCTTTTTATGCTGTTCTCTTGTTTTTTAGGATGACGTTGCGACTATTATGGTACGGGCTCCTGACCTGTGATCTCAGCATGACTCACGCTCCATATGGTATAGTGGACATGAATGTGTCTGCAGCATTAGTGCGTTGAGTGGCAAGAGAAAAAGGAGACTGGAGAGGGATAAGAGGAGCTCGATATTGGTTGTCATGTCAAATATAGTGGCATTAATCACACGCATTAGGCAAATGCTCGTTGTCCACCATGTTCCCTATGCGACCTTCACAAAGAGACATCACTTTGTAGCGTACTCAATCCATCCATCCATGCATAATAAAGAACATTACACCAACGAAAGATCCTGGGCATAAGCTATAGAAAGCAATACGCTCCTCCATTATGGATTCACAATCATACCCACAATGAGCATCATCATATAAACATCCAACCAGAAAAGAAAGAACACGTTTATTGCTGCCCCAATACTAACATTATGGTATAGAATGCATTAATCAAATGGATGCATGAGCACTTGTCAAAGCACATGGCCGAGCGAAGCATGTCAAGAACAACACTTGGTGGTGTGCCTGAAATCCCGCAGTATCTTGCTGGGTTATCCTCGCCGTTCCAGTTCATCCTTTACCTCTTCCGTCGTTGTCCCTCGTCGTCAGAATTATGCAACAAGCCGCCGATGACTACTATGAATCGATAGAAGTACACATTCGTTGGCCAGAAGGGCATGATCTTGTCTTGAGTATGTCTCCAAAGGAAACCGTCAGCACTTTAAAGCAAAAGGTAAGTAGTACACTTTGACCCCATTCAAGCATTCCCCCCTACCTCCATTGACATTCTCTCTCCCTCTCTCTATCCAGATTCAGTCATCAACACCACACGCTAGCGGCAAGAATATCCGTCTCATTCGAAATGGTCGAATACTGAATGACAGAGACACGTTGGCTGACTACGGCATTGGCAAGCTTGATCGAGATCCCAACTCCAAAGCCAAGGTACCTCCACCTTCTCCTGTTTACATACATTGTTCGCTATCCGATTATATCCCCAACAAGCATCATCATGTAAGTCATCGAAGGAACAAGGATGATCATGATCTGATTGTATGCCTTGTGCATATAGAACAATGAGCCGCAATTACGGATACCCACGGGATTTGATCGGTTGCGAGAAGCAGGGTTCTCTGAGGAAGATATTCAAGGCATACGTTCAAGGTTTCATCGTATTCATGGGACTGTAGCTGATGGTAAGGAGTTTGGAATGACGTGTATCACCACTTTCATGTGAAGAGGATTATCTCGATAGCTGACATGCAATCCCCTCCCCCGCACGTGTTGTAGAGAATTCCGAGGATGCACGTAACCTTGAGGAACAATGGATTGATAACAGCAATGAGACATTGGCGGATGGCAGTAAGTGTGGTATCAGGATGAGGGTAAGGATAAGGACAACATGTGCTCATTGGGATCTTGTTCGAGCAGGTGTTCAAGGCACATACAAAGAAATGGTTTGGGGCTTGATTCTTGGATTCTTCCTTGGCGTCATTTGTCTCTTCTGGTTCAGGGAATCAGTGTTTACTCGTAGACACCAAATGGGTAAGGGTTAGCGCATTGGCAGGTTCGGTTATCCAAAAGGGTGTCGTATTGATCGTTTTATTAGGTATCGTTGCTGGCATGTTAATCAACATCTCTTTTGGTATCCTCCATGTTTATTATTAGTAGAAAAAGAATGTCATATAGATTGTAAATGAGTTGGCCTGGTGCCTTGATAAATAATGATACATCTTAAAACGTGATGGATTGGAAGTGAGTCTCATTGATATTCAAGCCAGCAACATCACTTTTATCTCCAAAACAATCACATGACCTCTGACAGCGAGCTGTGCTGATTACGGCAATTTGAAAGAACTCATAAATTTTCCACCTCTTGTTCCGGCGATAAGGTTTCGTGATGCAAGGGCTACGATACATTATCCCAGTTTCGGCGAAATAGTCCCTTGGTCCGTGCAATAATCGCGCAACGTTGCGAAAAGTTGAAACACCATACAAGCGCACAATACCCTAGCAAACGCTTTTCATAACATCAAGAACGCAGCAGCCTGTTGTGTGTGTGCTTGAAACTTTGATATTCTCACGCATCTCATCCTTTTGGATGCTCAATACCCCAAGGATCCATTTTCTTCAAGAGAGTCTCAAATACGGATATTGTGTACCATCCACGTGATACAGGATCATCTGGCTATAGAATGGTACCCTGAAGAGGAACAATCTTTATTGCACTATATGCATTCTCATGATCAAGGAGCATATTTGGTATGATGAATTACATGGGAGTTTGGGTATTGAGCCATACTAAATATACGAGAATCCATGGGTAAATGTCCCAGCCATCTGCATGATGATGACGGTGATGATGCTGATGATGTAGTAGCCATAGTACCAAAGGTGGAGTACAAGTGACAGATGATGGATAAGATTGTCAACTACTGTGCAACGACATTGATGCTTCCGGATCCGATTGGAAGGAGATGATTTTATAAATTGATATACTTTATAGAGAAGGAGGAGGCGTTATCTAATCGCTCTTGAAAGACTACAATGAAAAGTTATGCGGCACAATGCTGACGGGTTGAGCTTGTAAATTACGGGGTTCCTATTTGTTACTCAGGAATATAGCGTTTTCGCAATACAAGGTACATTTTCCTGGATATACCCAGCAACCTACGAGTAATTTGATCCCGAGCTCTTTTCCTCAAACGTGCACTTTGATAGAGAACGAACCCATATCACCTGTTACAAATACGTCCCGAGAAAAGAAACTTGTCGAATGACACCCATTGGAAGGGGGACAATGACCACCATGAGCACCATGTAATACTACAATAAAAGACGATTAACCTTGCCTAGTGAACACTCATTGGCGTGAGAATGGGGGATCCATGACGGTTAAACTTGAATGGTATGAAGGCCACATAGAAAAGATTTTTTTCTGCAATAGTATGTTCTTTTTTTCTCCCACCGATACCCGCCATTTTCAGACGTGGCACTTGATCCTGCATAGTTGGTTGCGTGGCAACTCTTATCAGCTTGTGTCCCGGTTCTTCTTCCGATCCATGCTTGGACTTGCCCCTTTTACATTTACAGCTTGACAGGTTTTAAAGTTTTCAACCCACTTCCATCACACACACACATATGCAATGCATAACAATAAAGCGTACATGGATCAACCACCCACCACCCCAACGTGCAGTGAAAGTCTGGTGATGATTGGATTACAAATATTGCATCAAAGGGGTGCAGGAGAATAAAGAAAGGTGTACTATATACGGCATAGGTTGTTGAATGACTGTGGTTGGGTATAAGGGGATGGGGGAATAACAAGTGATGACAAACAAACGGTAAAAAGGACGGCCCATTGGATTGATTTTCTATCATGTTACTCATGATCGAAAGGTGTCATGCCGACGAAAACAAAGGGTACGGGATCACACCATGGGAAGGTATCCTCAAAAGGGAAGCTCGTCTATCCGATCCGTCACCAATGTATTGAGCCCGGCATGTGATGAGTAATAAGGTCAAGATTCAGAATAAAACCAATGTCAGCTGTCCACTCCCCACCTCATTCCCAATTCAAGCAGCCAATGATTCTCATATGTTTAACACGCCCTTTCAGGTGTCAATACTCGGAAGGCACATAACACACATCAATTTGTTTTGTGAAATCCATACATTGCTGCTGAAACCCATGTGCTTTGTATCTTCCCGCTCTTTTTCTCACATCAGATGATTATCGGATGGCGCGATCCTTTATGGGTGTGCATGGAAAAAAAAAGAAAAAGACATGTATTTGGCAGAAAAGAAAAAGAAAAACTATACATAGATACAAGATAATGATCGCAATGGGAAAAAATGAGAACGAGAAAGAAGGATGGGATGTGTGTGTGAGTGTGTGAGAGAGTGCGTTATGGAGATAGATACATGATGAGCTAAAAGCAACGTGGTCTTTCACCTTCATTTACCCTGGTGGCTAATCTGGTAATTGATGAATGGAGCATAAGTTTACGTTTTCTCACGGTGGATTACAATGCGAAGGAATGGAAAACTTACGTCGATTGACTTTTGTCTGTATTTGCCAGGCTCAGTCTTCCAAAAATCATTGCTCACATACTCGCCCTTGCTCTGGAACTCAATCTCAGAATCCTTGAGGCGATCCAGATATTGCAATGTTTCATTGTTGGCTGAAATGACAGTTGCCTTGGGAGCTTGGGATGTATAAGTGCGCACTGCCACACGGCCAAAAGCTCGTACTGCTGCTGCTGATCCTTGCATATTATGTGATTTCACGAGGGTAATGAGAAAAGTAAAAAGATAAAAGAGATGGGTATCAGAAAAAGAAAAAGAGATCGAAAGAAAAAAAATGAGATGTCGCTTTTATATTTGAATCCAAAAGGGAGGGAGGATCCAATGCTGCTCATGCCATGCCCACCCACGGACTTCTAAATAGAGGATGTCTTGCGATAGAGATTATCATGGTACGTAAAAAGTGACGGGGAAAGAGAGTGTGTGGGCTTGCACCCCACATTCCTTGGTGCCGCCGCGCTCACTATACGCCACGCGATAATGCTGATGCCTATCTGGTATATCCCGTTTACACAAATATGACGCCGCTTTCCAAGGTGTTTTGCTGTATACGGATACATAGCAATTATACATCGACAAATAGGGCATACACCATCCCGAAGCCATTGTATCCTCTATCTCACAGCTGTACTTGCTATCTATTTGTTCTCATCAAGAATGCAAAAAAGGTTAATGATGATGATCTTTTGCATCCCAAACAAACAACATGTTGTTGCTAGGATACACACATGTGAGTGGTGCATGTTGTCATGGTGATGTTTGTTTTGGAAAAAGTGAAAGAGACAAGTAGAGATCAAGCGTCTCATGAAGGGTTAACATAATACATCGGTGCAACGGTTAGGCCATGTACCAATTTGAGACCCAACTGGGTGGCTACTTTGTCGCATAGTCAAGCGATCCCAAGAGATTGCATATAAGCTTGTGGTGCAGCAGCCAGCATCAGCAGCAGCAGCAGCGTTATTTCTCCATTTGGCGATCATTGTTTTTTTTCCGACCCGATACACTTTTTCGTTTACGTATGGGTTTGGATGCCTTTTCGTCTTGTCCCTGGATTATAATGACCGTCTCCCTATATCTGAAAAGATTCCATGCTATACCATAAAGACTATTACCGCTCACGCATAAAAGGGAAACCTGCACCAAGTGGCTGCAGCGCCCCAGCCAAGTCTACTTTCACTCCCAGCAGCAGCAACAGCAGCCCCTGGGGAAATGCTTACATTCTTTATCACTCATTCATGTTGAACGTGGATGGTTGTCTATCTTGATGAGAGCGAGATGATCATTATAATCTGAGCAATTAATTTTGGGCTTGCTGCAAAACAAATTGATGCACATGGCTGGAATCCTTTATCTCTGATATTATTGTTGCACACGCCCATATGAAACTGAATCAACCTTTTACGTGTGGCATTGTTATGAATGCGGATCAAATCTCTTTTTTCCTTGGCAAGAACAATGACACCCCATAAACAATGAACCCATAACCCCCCCCCCCTTGGTAGACAAAAGAAGAGGATGCCTTGTACAATAAAGGGATCAAGGTTGATACGTGGCACAAGAGAATGTAATGAGATAAAGCTTGTGTGAGTGCGAGGAGCTGATCATTGACAAATTATCAACGAACCATATCTTTGCTTGCAGATCGTCAACCGACTAAATGTACAATTTTGGAGGTAGTGAGGCTCGAAAAGGGCTAACCTGACGTACATCTTGTCGCACAGCCACCTTAGGTGAACGTGCTCCTTTACCTCTTGATGGCAAGTGCGTGCACCTTGAGCATGCTGGGTGCGTTGTGCATACGTCGCTTGTCTTCCAGACGCCCATACGTACCTTTAGACCGACGATGATTATCAAACTCGACAACGTAGAGTGTATTTAAGCTCGCATCATCCCTATCATGTATCGAATCTCTTTTCTTTCGTTTCATTCATTGTAACCCACACACCCGTTCCATTCTTTTTTTATATTTTCCCGCTAAAGTTTATTATCGCCCCCCTTTCAACTACATTTGTAGAACCGTTTCCTTCTTTCCTTTCCATCTCTCCTCTAGTTCTCTTTTTTCCTTTCTATTCGAAGCAGTAGATCATGGCCGAGAAAACAGAGACTGTGGAGGTCATTACCGATACTGAAGTGGTCACCACGACAGTTGAAACCAAGACGACCACCACCCAACAACAACAACAAGTGGTAGACGGCAACTTGAAGACGCTCACGGTCGAGGAGTTGTATGATAAGGACAAGTATGATTTGTCTACCATGGAGCTTGAAGAGGTGTTGCAAATCTTGCAGTATGTATTGTCGATCTCAAGTGGGGTAGTAGTAAACGTTTCTACCAACCACGTAAATGCATGATTTAACCTTTTGGCTCACTTTGCATACCCCGCTCTTCTTCTCCACCTCCTCCTTTGTTTCTATACCAGCACTCAATCGCAAGGTTTAACCTCTGAAGAAGCCGCCCAACGCATTGAAAAGTTTGGTCCCAACAAGCTTGAACAAAAGGAACAGAATGCCTTCCTCCAATTCTTGGGGTTCATGTGGAATCCTCTTTCGTGGGTCATGGAAGCCGCTGCCATTGTCTCCATTGCACTCGCCAACGGTGAAAACAGACCTCCAGACTATCCCGATTTCATTGGTATCGTCTTGCTGCTACTCGCCAATTCGTTGATTGGTTTCTATGAAGAACGCCAAGCTGGTAATGCTGTCAAGGCCTTGATGGAGTCCCTCGCCCCTGAATGCAAGGTGAAACGCGATGGCGAATGGCGCACTATGGAGGCTGCTGAACTTGTTCCTGGTGATATCATTAGCATCAAGCTTGGTGATGTGATTCCTGCAGATGGTCGTCTTTTGTCGGTACGTACTTGTGCTTGTGTGTTTTTAGGCATGTATTGGATGCTTACCTTTGTATTCATGATTAGGCCCACGGCCAAGTCTCTATCGATCAAGCTGCTCTCACTGGTGAATCTCTTCCCGTTGGCAAGGAAGCTGGTGATGAAATCTTCTCCGGATCTACCGTTAAGCAAGGCGAGGCCGAAGCTATTGTCATTGGCACTGGTCTCAATACGTTCTTTGGTCGTGCTGCCAAGTTGGTGGGTGATGCTGGAGATGACATTGGCCACTTGCAAACTATCCTTGCCAAGATCGGTAACTTTTGCCTTGTGTCCATTGGTATCTTTGTCGTTATCGAGATCCTTGTCATGTATGCTGCTTTCCGTTACAGCTATCGTCGTGGTATCGACAACTTGCTCGTGTTGCTCATTGGTGGTATTCCTATTGCCATGTAAGTATCTTCATATCATCATCACCCATCATCCTTTTATTATATATGCTAACCATCATCTTTCTTTTCAGGCCTACGGTGTTGTCTGTTACTCTTGCTATTGGTGCCAAGCAATTGGCTGAGCACAAGGCTATTGTCACGCGTATCACTGCAATTGAAGAAATGGCCGCCGTCACCATTCTTTGTTCCGATAAGACTGGTACATTGACCTTGAACAAGCTGATTGTCGACAAGCCCACGATCAAGACCTATGCCGAATTCAATGGTGATGAGATTATCCAACTCTCAGCCTTTGCTTCCCGTACCGAGAACCAAGATGCCATTGATTTCTGTATTGTCAACTCGCTTCCCGATCCTTCCCTTGCACGTCAAGGTATTGAAGAGCTCGAGTTCAAGCCATTCAATCCTGTTGTCAAGCGTACTGAAATCACCTACAAGCGACATGAGGATGGTGCTGTTCTTCGTGTGACCAAGGGTATGTCCCATACCATTTTGGATCTTTGCACCCGTGACAAGACCGAGGAACAAATCAAGGCTCTCAATGATGATGTCGATGAATTTGCTCGTCGTGGCCTTCGTGCTTTGGCTGTTGCAGTGGATGAAGTTCCCTCTGGTGACGTTGAAGGTGAAGGCAAAGGTTTCCGCCTTGTTGGTTTGCTTCCCATCTATGATCCTCCTCGTTCGGATACTAAGGAAACGATTGATCGCTCCATTGCTCTTGGTGTCCAAGTCAAGATGATTACGGGTGATCAACTCGCTATTGGCAAGGAAACCGGTCGTCGTCTTGGTATGGGTGACAACATGTTTTTATCCAAGGCTCTTAAGGATGGCCCTCCTCCTGGTTCTGGTTATACAAGCATCGATGATATGGTGCTCCAAGCGGATGGCTTTGCTGGTGTGTATCCTGAACACAAGTACGAGATTGTTGAACGATTGCAAGCCATGGGTCACATGACAGCCATGACCGGTGATGGTGTAAACGATGCTCCTGCACTTTCCAAAGCCAATGTTGGTGTTGCCGTTGCCGATGCATCCGATGCTGCACGCTCAGCTGCTGATATTGTATTGACCGAACCAGGTTTATCCGTTATTGTTACTGCCATCATTGGTTCGCGTCAAATTTTCCAACGTATGCGTAACTACGCCATTTATGCATGCTCTATCACCATTCGTGTTGTTGTCGGTTTCGCTATTCTTTGCTTTGCCTTTGAGCATGACTTCCCTCCTTTCCCTGTATTGATTGTGGCTGTCCTCAATGATGGTACCATTATGACCATTTCGACTGATCGTGTCAAACCATCACCTTATCCCGACCAATGGAATTTGCGTGAGATCTTCACCTATGCTGTCGTCTATGGTCTTTATCAAGCTGCTTCAACTCTTGTATTCGCCAAGGTCATGTTTGGTACCACTTTCTTCCACGACAAGTTTGGTGTCGAGCTTCCTGAGGACGTCAATGACCATATTTACCACTCGATCATCTACTTGCAAGTCTCCACCATCTCACAAGCCTTGATTTTCATCACTCGTTCTCGTACCTGGTTCTTCCTTGAACGTCCATCAGTCTACCTCATGTGTGCCTTTGTGATTGCTCAGCTTGTTGCCACGTTCATTGCCGTCTACGCCAACTGGGGCTTCACTTACATGCGTGGCTGTGGTTGGGATTGGGCTGGTATTGTGTGGATTTGGAACATTATCTGGTTCATCCCTATGGACTTTTGCAAATTCACCATGCAAAAGCTTTTCACCCCCAAGAACACGCTTGCTGAAAACAAGGTTCCCATGCAATCACGTCGTAACTCTGCTGCCTCCGCAACTTCCTCTGGTCGTTACTATGCCAACCGTACAAAGTCCCTCAAGTCTCTTGAGCAGCCTCGCAACTTTGGCAAGCGTCTCCTCGGCAAGAAGATTAGCATGGATAAGAAGGAAATGCGTCGATTCTCTTCAGCTCAAGCTAGTCAAGCTGCTCAAGTGCTTGGCTCTAGCGTCAACAACTAGTTGTATGTTCTTATAGTAGATATTATTAAAGATGCTCTCCTCTATATACAATCTCTTTCTATTTGCTGATCCTTCATCATCCTCTCAAAAGTTCTCTTTTATAATGTCGTCAGTCATGCTTTTGGGACATATTTATGTCACCTGTAATCACCTTTCAAGTGGCAGGTAGATTTATCAGCTGTTGATTGTCCATCACTCTGAGATGGTTGACCACTTTATCAGTTCGATCCATCATGACAACAGCTCCCACGCCCACTCACATGTAAGAAAGCTGTTGTCGCCAACACTATCATACGCCCTTTCTTTCTTTCTACTTGTATGCATATCATGATGAATGACCTTTGGTAAGTCTCAAGGGTAGTCCTTTATGTGATCCCCAAAATGAGGTACTCATGCATCCACCTATATAGCTCACTTTATTGCTTTACCACTTGAAGTGCACATTGCTGTCTAGTGACATTTGGCTGTGGTCCTTGATGAACCTTTGGGGTATATCAAAAGGATGCCTAGACTGATGGGAAAATTGAGACACCTTTGTAGGTGACAAAAATACATGCCAATAGTATCAAATACTTGTATATCCCAAAGATTATCAGTGGTCGCAGAAAGAATATAAGGGCCTGGTACAGTAGCAAGTACATGAAAAGAGAAAGCCGCCAAAGGGAATACCAAGAAAAAAGTGGAAGGATCGACTTCTGGCGCGAGAGCGCAAGGCCATAAGGAAGATATTGAAGAAACGAGTACCAAACACAAACATTGACACGCCCACATCATGATTGGTCATGCAGGCATGGGATATGGATTCAAGCATTATAGGGTTCATGCGATACGGTGGCAAATGGATTAGAAAAACCCATTCAAGATAGCATTTGTGTTAGTGTGCTTTGCAAGGATTGGTATAGATCAGAGTAATCATGTATTCCCCCTCCCTAGTAACTCCTATTTAGAACAAAAGTAATACATCGACGAAGCTGTTTCAGAAGTTTTTATACATGAGCATGGGGATGAAACATTGTATCTATATAATGAATCTATTGACCAAAGGTATATGCACCCCAAGGGAAAGGCTTGAAATGTGGGACAACACCTTCACCAGGACCCTGCGTCTCCTCGATGATCAATTCCCAAAAGTCCACATCCAACCATTTGCCAAACTTGTAGCCGACATCCTTGAATGTACCCACATGGCGATAATCCAATGACTTGAATAGTTGAATGGATGGTGTGTTTTCAGATGTGATGACGGCTATGTTGAATTTTGATCAGAAACATGGATCGATCGTAACATGAAAAGGTTTACCATAGATAGCGCGGAATTGCATTTGTTTGCCGATCCGATTCATCTCTTTGACAAGCAGACGTCCGAGACCACGGCGATGATAATTAGGATGGATATATACCGAGATTTCAGCACTCCTAATGACAATGACTAGCATGAGCCACTCACCCTACTACTTCATCCCCAATAGCTCATCCCACAATCTTACAAGTTGTATGCAGGCTTATCACGAAAACTGCTAAAGTTGGCAAATGCTGCTGTCTCCTTGGTTTCCTTATCCTCTGCTACGATCACAGCATAACCCTCACGTCGGCAGTTGTCGAGCCACTCTTTTCTGTTTTGGAGCGTAAGAGTTTCAAAGACAAAGAGCGAGGTGGAGTTGAGAATGCGCTCATTGTAGAGATCGGTAATGACTTGGAGATCGCTGTCGTTGGCTTCGCGAATGGTAAACTGATCGAGTGGGTCGGGCTTGCTCATGTGTAAAGTTGGAGAAAGAAATGCCATCCCTCCCGATATCAGAAGCACCCTTATCTAGGATTTGGCTGGATCCCCGCTGTATCTTTTATCTACCTTATTGCTCATGTCACATACTCTACTTGATCAATAAAGTTAATGAGTCTATCATTCGTATTTGAGTAAATTCAATAGCACACGTGTTCAGGACATGCCATTTTTTCATGCACGCGTGTAGAAAGTGGGTTTGCGTTTCATTGTTTCATAGCCAAGTAGCTATTTTATTTGAACGATCACCTTTCTTTGTGTTTCCAAACAATGTAACAAGATACACAACAATCATTGCTCCTCTAATAACCTTGAACATGCAGCATCACCTCGCTACATCACACATGTCATATGACAGCGTGAGATACATCTATCAAACTCATCTCCAATCGATAAACTATTGGCATCAAGGACCCATTTATTGGTCATTGCTTATCTACTACATGTACATACTGGCAAGGGAACTATACCAATATCGGGTAATTCATGCACCGATTTTGTAGATGAAAACGAGCTATTTTGAAGGGAAAAGGATTGCCCCTGTTGTTCTGGAATGGCTTCACAGCAATCCAACACTGACAAGATGCCGGAAACACAACAAGTGACGCCTGAAACAACCAATTCAGTGGTGGTGGTCGAGAATCGGCTGGCCTACATTGGTATTATTATCCCCATGTCGATTCTTGGTACCTTGATCCGGATCGGTTTGTTGCGTCTGGAAACGTACGAAGGAGCGCCTGTGTTTGGATTGGTGTATGCACAGTGGATCGGATGTTTTATTATGGGCATTGCAGTACAAAAGAAAGGATGGTTCCAATACGTATATCCACCATTGCAAGTCGGCCTATCAACAGGCTTGTGTGGATCAATTACCACCTTTTCGTCATGGCAGCGTGATATCTTTGAAGGCTTTGCAAACTACACACAAGCAAATCACTACACAGGATACAACATTCTTGCCGCCATCTCCCAACTCCTCGTGACACTCGCCATGTCTCTCAATGGTTTGATTTTTGGAAGACACGTGGGTCGTATTCTTTTACCTTTTGAACCTCCTCCTTTCAAATTGATTCGACGTCCTTTGGCACCTTGGCAGGAAAAGGAAAGCTTCCGGAAAACGGATTGGTTGGTCATTGCATTCGGTATCCTATCATGGATAGGTGTCATTATAGCAGCAGCACTCGCTACTCAACAACGTGCTTTGGCATTTGCATGTGTATTCAGTCCCGTGGGTGCCTTACTCCGTTGGTATCTCTCATTCATCAACACCAAATACGTCAACTTTATGTACGGCACATTCGCTGCTAACATGATTGGAACCCTCACCCTGGCTATTCTATCATTGGCTGGCAATGGTGTCTATATATCATCGATCGGGTGTCAAGTCCTCTTGGGTCTGGCAGATGGATTTTGTGGTATGTTGTATGAAGTTGTTCACCCAGAAAAAGGAGGATGGATGCTGACATTTACTACATAGGATGCCTTTCAACGGTGTCAACGTTCGTGGTAAGTACACAAAGCACGTATGCTACTAGGATACTTGGGACTAATCTTTGCATGATCACCCAGGTCGAATTGACCAGCTTGCCGTTATATCAATCTTACATTTATGGAACAACTTCTGTTGTCGTGGGTCAAATCTTTATGTTTCTAATCTTTGGCACGTACATCTGGACCCAAGGCATCAATCCCACATGCATTTAGAACAGCTACTCTACCCTTTGTTACCCTCCTTTTTACTTGTTACAACATCATTTAATATAATACACCATGACTCCATGAGCAGAATAGATTAATATGTGTATAGAATGTATCGTTTTCTTGATTGCAAATATGAAAAGGAGGAATGGTGGTGAGTGAGAGTGTGTGTTGTGTGGAAATCTAAAAAGCCCTACATATATACAAAATGGGGGGTATGAGAAAAAAAACTAATAGAATCTACGACAAGAATAATGTTATGCAAAGCCTTGATGTTCAATGATTTCGTCGACAATGGCATGTCGATATTGTTTAATGTAATTCTATACTTGGATGTTAGCATTTCATTATCCACAAATAGTGCAAACAAACTTACCGAAAAGGTAGAAGTGCGTGTGCCAATAAAGCGTTCAGCCCAAGCGCATATGGTAGCATCGACAAACATGATCAAATGTTGAGTGAGATCTTTATGTGGATCCAATGGGGACCGTACACGCACCACGGGATCACGCCAATTAGGAGGAAAATCGCTCATGAAAAAGGTGCATGGAAATGCGTCGATAATAGGCTTGAGTTCTTTGTTGGAGCGTGGATCGGGTGCATCGGTAGCGACATACAAGACCATCAATTTGCGTCTAGCACATTCTTGGAGCCGTTCTGATAAACCAAGATTGCTCAATGCTTTGCGTTGTTCATAAGGTGCTTTTGGTAATGGATACAAAGGTCGTTGTCGAGGATGGGCTGGAAGAGTTGCATTGATTCTGTTGGAAGCACCAATAAGATCATCCGTGGACGTTTCGTTGCCGGTCATGATATCCCAAATCTGGTGCACGAATTCAGGTACACGATCTTTGAGCTTCTTGAGGAAAACGCCATCACCCGCTCGTACATGGGCAGCCACAAATCGTGGTAGCTCTTTCTCTTGTTCCTGCTTTTCTTGAGCCTGGATGGGATCAAGTGGCACCAAATCACTGGTCTCTTTATCCACGCCGTTTAAGAGCTGCTCAAGAATAATGGAGGATGCTTCACCAATAGCTGGATGTCGAAAAATAAGTGATTGCTCAATGCGTAATCGATATTCCTCGCTGTATTCATCATGCAACATCAATCGATCATAACCAAAGATGCCATAAAAGTGCAAAAGACGATGCTGAATATTGTCAAGTTCCTTGAGAGAAATCTCGTATCGATAGCGTAGATTGCGTTCGTCGCTGACAGAATGATCGTAAATGTGCCATTGGTATCTCTGTATATATAAAAATAACCATTCATTATCTGTCAATTAGATGCATTGCTTCTCCTTTTTCACGCTCTAGTGTCGACGATGCCGATCCCCATGTTGTCTGCACACACTAAACCCATATTACTACTCCTTACCGTAGAATCCTGCATCAAGTACATTTCATCATCGGGCAATCCGAGATCATGCTGCAACTTGGTAAGCTTCATATCCGAACGCTCCAAGATGTTGATTCCGAGACCTCCTTCCTCTTCGCTGCGAGTGAGTCGATGAAGATCAGTCGCCCAACTCCATGGCACCATAGCATACGTTGTGAAATTGTAGCAACCGAATACAACTCGTTCACCATCATCCGCCATAACAATATCCTCAATACGAGCATTCTCATCTTGATCAAAGCATCGATCTTGGAAAGCATCATCGGTCATGTTGGCTAATACTTGATAGAGCTCGGGAGCAGGTGACCATCCATTGGCACTACCGAGAAACATGGGAGGAACAACCAACGTTCGATTGAGATACTTGGCCAACAGGGCAGCGTTGAGAAGCGTACTTCGTTGATTGGAGAAGCGAGAATAAGGGAGATACGTCAAGTACTTTTCATCGTGCGAATGGTCGTGTGTCTGATTATGCGAAAAGTCGTATGGATGCAGTGCGTCGTCTTGGTCTTGGTCTTTTTGTTGTGGAGGTTGAGGAGAAGCATCATCGTCTGAAGACCACATGCTGGTAGGAAGTGGAATGCCGTCGTATTGATATCGTACAAGTTGCACCCCAATCATGACAAGCGAGACGACCGTCAACAAGATCAGCAAGGTCTTTTTCTGCGGGTTGGATTTCAAGGAAAACATGGCACCATCAACTCCATTCAGTGCGAAAAAGTGTGCAGGAAAAGGACGAGGAAGAAATATAAAAGGAGTGGAAGAGGTGTAGAACAAGTAGTGTCACGACCAAAAGACAACAGAATCCTTGAATACTCGAGAAACAGCTGACGCTCCGATATTTCATTTTGTGCCCACACAGTGTACAACGTATTCATAAAACGATCTTTTAATCTCATCGTCCATTCATTCATACCATGATTGCCTTTCATTCTCTTTTAATACTATGACTGCACATGCATGTTGGCTCTTTGTTGTGGTTGTTCAAAGGGTGGAGGGTCGAGATTTGAGATAAAAAAAGAAGTATCAGTTACAAACTATTAACCCTTACAGCGTGTGTTGTACCTTGTGCAACATGTATATCAATAATGCAAATACTCTAGCTAAAGCTTGCTTTGGGGGGGTTGTTATGGTGACGATGCATCGGTTGTTGGCTTTTATGCAAAAAGTCAACATCCGACTATGATGCCTTGTGATGGAAGTATAGGGCAACCGTGACATGGCAACAAGACAATAACAAGAACTTTTTTCAAGGCAATCTCAGCCATACCCACTTCAGCTTCCGGCAGTGGAGGGTGATTGATTACTTGCTTGCCTTTATGAGAATTGTATGCAAGGGACTGCCTAGATGCACACACATCCTACCGCTGAGACATGTAGTGATATTGCTCATTAAGAAGCTTTAACCTTATCCTAAGCAGCTATATGGATGTTGAATGGATAACATGATGATGAATTTATGTGACAAAGTCCATTGTTATTGCTCTATTTTGATGATACAATAATGGATGGGATACCAACTATTATTATTACTTTTACCACTTGGGCTTGGTTGGTTGGTTGGTTGGTTGGTTGGTTGGTTGGTGGTGGTGGGTTGAAAAGGGGTGGATGCTGGGGAGGAGTGGATTTCATATCCCGCAAGCGAGCTAGCGAGATAACTGCTGCCACTGGTTTTCCGGTTTTCCTTCTTCCCAAAAGACGATACAATATGGCCACTGCCAAGAGCGCTTCATATGACTACCTAATCAAACTATTGCTGATTGGAGACTCGGGTACATTTCTCTATTCTTTCTCTTGTTGTAATAGCCGTTCCTAATGCCGTGTCCTCTTGCAAGGTGTCGGGAAAAGCTGCTTGTTGCTTCGCTTTTCCGACGACTCATTCACGCCATCCTTCATTACAACCATTGGCATTGACTTCAAGATTCGCACCATTGAACTCGACGGCAAACGCATCAAGTTGCAAATTTGGGATACAGCTGGTCAAGAACGCTTTCGTACTATCACCACCGGTATGGCAAAAAAAGAAAAGGGAGCATGATCATGATGATGGATCCATGTATGATTGACATGTTTATATATATTTATCACCAGCTTATTATCGTGGTGCTATGGGTATTCTTCTTGTATATGATGTGACAGATGAAAGGTCATTCTCCAGTAAGTTGGGATCCTATTTCTCTTTCTCACACACAAACGCACACACACGCATACACACACACGCGCGTTCTATTTCCTATGCAAAATATTCACGCACCGAGACTAGATGTCCGAAACTGGTTCTCCAACATTGAACAACATGCAAGTGAAGGTGTTAACAAGATTCTCATTGGAAACAAGTGTGATATGGAAGATAAAAGAGTAAGTTGACTTGGGGATGAAAAGCCATTCATTCATTTAACTTTTTTCTTCTATCATATTTTGTAGGCAATCACTACAGAGCAAGGTCAAGCATTGGCTGAAGAACTAGGGATTCGATTCATGGAAACAAGTGCCAAGGCCAATATTGGTGTAGAAGAGGCATTTTTTGATCTTGCAAGGTAGGATGCATAACACACATATGACCAAGTCTCTCTCTCCTTTTACTCATGCATATGTAAAAAAGGGACATTAAAAAGCGATTGATCGACACTCAGCAACCACAACAGACACGTCAGAGAGAAGAGGTTAGATTGGATACAACCACTCCTGCAAAGAGTAGCTCCTCGTCCGGTTCTTGTTGCCAATAAATCATCGTCGTCATCGTCATCACCCATCTCCACTCACACTCACACACGACCTTGTTCGATTATTGACAATACTTTATCATTACCAAATTACAAAATTATACATTGATGTTGACCTGCTGTCGTATGTCTTCTAGTAGAAGTAGTAGTGGCACGTCGTCCTGGCCGTTGTCTTGCTGCCATCATTGGATCTGTTATCATTCCACCATCTATGCCTCTCATGCGTCGAGATAGCCTTGGTTGTTCATTCAATGTCAATGCAATGCCATCATCTTCTTCCTCTTCTTCCCACTTCCATGAATAAAAGCTCTTGATAGAAAGTCTGGGACCTGCTTTGGATAACGCTTTGCGTATTCCCTTTTCTGTAATATTTGCACAATCGAGTACGTCAATGTTTAACGTGCGTGGTGCTGCTGTTTTGGTGTTGTTGCCTTTGTGTAAATAAGATGCAATTGAGTTAAGGGTATCATCCGTAATGACACAATTATCGAGCTCGAGATGATCAAGAGTGTGACGACAAAGACCATGTACAATGAGATGAAGAATGGCGTCATCGGCAATTTGTGCACAATTGGATAGACAAAGCCGAGCAAGCGAAGGTTGATGATTTGCTAATGTCTTGACGGTGGTACCCGTAATCTGTTGCAGATCTTCCAAATCCAAATGGACCAAGGTACGTAAACGAGGAGCCAAAAAACAAAAGCCTTGATCGGTGAAGAGCACACAGCTAGCGAGTTGAAGATGTGTCAGATGAAAGCATTGCAACGCTAAATGACGTAACGTCGTATCCGACAGCCGAGCACAACCCGATAGATCCAAATGTGTAAGCGGCGGACGATGTTGTAGCAATGATAACAAGGCATCATCCGTGAGACTGGTACATGCATTGAGCCCAAGTCGTGAGAGTTGATTGCATTCCTTGCCCAAAACATCCATCGTGCTTGTATCAAGCTGCTGGCAACCATCCACTCGTAACGTCTTCAAATGCTTACATCCCTGAGCAATCGCTTGTACTCCTGATCCTGATATATTACGACACCATGCAATGTTGAGCGTCTCAAGCTTCGATAAATGTTGTCCAACATGTTGTAATGTACTATTGCGTACAGTGTCAAGTCCTGATAGATCAAGCGTACGAATATGAGGAGCCGCTTGTAAAAAGCAGGCAATGCTGTGTGTTGATAAACCACGACAATCCTTGAGGACCAAAACATGAACGTTGGGACAATGCTCGGATAAAGTACGTAACCCGTGCCCTGTCAGCTGAATACAACCTCTGCCGATAAAATGTCAGAAGGGTGAAAGGGATGGTAGAGAGATAGGAAGATGTATATGCACCTGAAATTGGCTACTCGCAGGAATTTACCACCAGCTATCCCAAGCCTAATCAACTGATTTGCAGGAATAAAACGATAGTATTCTGTTGCATCGATCCTTGTCCATAGCGTTCCTTCCATGGCCAATCGTTTCCATTTTTGACATACCTATTGGGGAACACCAAGCCATCAATACACAAATACATCATCATGGTGGAATACGATATCCAACATACAGCTGTCATGTATAATAAATCGAGTGGAGGTAGAAACGATAGGAATCTTATTTGTATTTCATCAGGCAAATCAAGGATATTGAATGACATGGAAAGAGGTTAAAGAAGAGAAAGAGAGAAAAGAAGGGAATCGATGAGAATGAGAAACAAAGGGGGAGAAACTATCTTATTGACATCCATGTGACCATCATACCATTGAGCACAAGATGTGAAATAGAGAACAATGCCTTCAGCAGCAGCTGAGTCGGATAATTTATTTGTAACTTTGGGTGTGTTTCCTATCGCGTCCTTGTGCTTCTACCACCTCAAAACAACCCATGTTGTCTAATTTTCGACTTGCCCTCAACCCATTTCGACTTGCTCTATCATCTTCAGCCTTTCGATTCAATTCAACTCTTTCAATTGCGCGCACGCGTCGAGTATGGACCGATGAAGAGAGTCAAAAGCTTCTTGAGCTAGTTGAAAGCGAAGGAAAACGTTGGACATACCTTCAAAAGGTCTATTTCCCTGATCGACCTGGTGCTGTTCTCGCCAATCGTTACAAAATGTTGACCGACAAGACGTCGTATCATGGACCATGGACGGATGAAGAACGAGAACGGTTACGGCAACTTACAAAAGGCCACACGAGTGAGAGTACCATTGATTGGGACAAGTTGCGCGAGAAAATGCCACGACCACGACCTATTGTTCAGCTACAGCTTACTTGGCGCCATTCTATCGATCCAGCTATTCGACATGGAAAGTGGAGTGAACCAGAGATTGAAAAACTGGACCAACTTGTTGCAAAGTATGGTACAAGCGATTGGGAAGCGGTGGCTCAAGGTGTTCAGTCTCGTACTGCTCGTCAGTGCCTGGAACGATGGAAGTGGCAACAGGATCGAAGCTTGAAGAAAGGTAAAAAACAAGGATCATTCATTGGGGATGAACAAAGATACTCACCCATCACTTGCATAAATAGGGCGTTACACACCCGATGAAGATAGGGCTATTCTTGAAGCCGTCGCAAAACATGGGGAGAACTTTGCTGCCGTCAAAGCCGCCATAAAAAGTGAACGCACACCACGACACATTTCACAGCACTATCACTACATGTTGAGCAAAACCACGGATCGTTCACCTTGGACCGAGGAAGAAGAATTGCAAGTTTACAATTTGGCCAACAAATACAATCACGATATGAAACGCGTCAAGCAAGAACTCAAAAGTTCACGTGCCGCCAAAGATCTTTGGAATCACTATTACAAGGTCAAGAGAAAGCTGGAAAAGAAGGAGGAAAAGAGGTTGGAATTGGAACGTAGCAGGAAGGAATCATGAGCATTAAGTACATAGAAATAAAAAAAAAGTAGCTCTAGCATGTCATCATTACCAATCGATATTGCATTCAATTGTGGGGTTATCATTTTATGCGAATAAACTTAACAATACAAGAAAAAGACGTCATTGATATCTGATAAGTGTTCATACTATTAGAATAGAAAGGGGATAAGAGCTTTTCTAGTGCGGGGATAATCGGTGAACTTTTGCTTATACCATGCGTGGGTTCGTACAGCACGAGGTCCGAGATTGGCAACAGTGGCAAGAGCAAATACATTAGCAGGAGCGCTGGGCCAAGCGATAATAGCATAGCCGGTCCATTCAATCATCTCGCCTAGATAATTGGGACAGCTGACAAGCTTAAAGAGACCATCATAAGGGATAAAGTAGCGTTGCTGATTGGAAGAAGAGGATTGTTGTCGTCGTTGTCGTCGAAGATTAAAGAGCACAGAGTCATGATAAATGTTGATGGATAATCCAGTGAGCCATAAAGCAACGCCCAACATGACACGAGGAGTAGCAATATCAAAAGTATTACGTGCATTCCACATGCCATTGGTGTATCCATTCAAAAAGTTGAATACAACGGAAGCTAGCATGGTGATAACGTTGATAGGAGCCATGGAGGGTGCGCGATAAGGGTGTATAATAGCTCGATTGGTGTAATGTGCCATCCATAGGCCCGTAAGTAACTTTTGACTTGAGGAGGATTGACTCCAGCTGCCAATGGTTGTCATGGATACGGCATACGCCACTGGAGATAGGACTTCCATCAAACACCACGTAAGTTTGCCAGGTAGGTTCCAATCCACAATAAGCTTTCCTGCAAAACGACCTAGAGTAACACCAATATTTAATGCATGAAAGCACAAAGCAGCAGCAGGTGGTAACTATGAGTGTAGTGTACCATAAGGAGCGTCAATCCAAAAGAGAAGCGGCGCGATTAGAGGCGGCATAGATTTGTAGGCCATCAATGCCATGTTGTAGTTGGCTGGATCGCGCCACCAAGTTGTAATCTTTTCAACACATTCAGCGAGCATACACGTGTATTGTATTGTGTGTCAAGGTGATATGGTGAAACCAAGAAAGGCTGTCTCGCGGAAGTTCGGCACTCATGCTGGTATAAAAGTGTGTCCCTTTTCACCGACACCTCCTCTTTCCTCACAACAATTACACCCTTTCAGCCAATGCGACACTGGCAACAACTCGGGCAACGAACACGGTTGTCACCATGCTTGCTTTCTTCTCGCGTAAATACAACCATTCGACCTTCCATTTCGGTCCACACAACGTTCTCGCCTTTGTCGCCTTCACACCATCGATTAAACCTTATCCGAGCCCATGGCACGCATCACCACCACCACGGAGAAGAGGGTCATGTGCATGCTGATCTTGCTAGTACTTTACAGCAATCGAGTAGGTTATTGTCTACCGTATGATAAGGGCGTATCACTAAAACAGCTTGCAGGCAAACGAGGAATGCGTATCACACTTGCCGGGTTATTTGCCAACGTTGGCTTGACGGTATCCAAGGGCATCGCTGGATGGTGAGCTATATATATTCACGGTACCCTGGATGTTATCAGTCATAGGTTCCCCTTTTCTAACATGTTCTTTGTCTATAGGATGTGCAACTCGGCATCCTTATTGGCCGATGCAACCCATTCGCTCAGCGGTAAGCTATCTTTCACTCCTCCCAATGACGCATTGTTCTCATCCATTTCATTGTCAAATAGATCTAATGAGCGACTTTACAACCTTGTACACATTCAAAATGTCACGAAAGCCACCAGATGCACTTTACCCTTACGGATATGGTAAGTCTTCGTCATCATATGATTTGGGCTGGGAGTAGTAGATCTGATAATCTCGCCTCGCACATCTTAGGCAAATTTGAGACAATGGGTTCCTTAGCAGTGGCTGGATTTCTGCTTGCAGGTGGTGCTGGTATTGGTATTCACTCTTTTGATTTGCTCCTTGCTGCTATCAATCCTGCTACGGTACAAGAAGCAGCTGCTGTCGCTACTCAAGAAAGCAGCAGCGGATTTTTCCACCATCATCATCACCGTGGAGATGTACTCGATCCAAATGCTGCATGGTTTGCACTTGCCAGTGTCATTATCAAGGAAGGATTATACAGAGCAAGTAAGTATCAGGGATTTTATTCTCGTATACAATCATACTGAAGGGTGGGCTTTCCTTAGCAATCAAGGTCGCCAAGGAGGAAAGAAGCGATGTATTGGTTGCAAATGCCTGGTAAGTTCTCTTGTGCTATTTTAATAGTGGTGGCAAAAAGACTCACCGGATACTTTCAAGGCACCACCGAGCGGATGCATATTCGAGTATTGTATCTCTCGTAGCCATTGTGGGTAGCTATGCTGGTATACCGGTCCTCGATCCTATTGGCGGTTTGATTGTGTCGGCAATGATCATCAAAAGTGGCAACGGTATCCTCATGTCGTCATTACGTGAACTTATGGATAAGGGCATTGGTCATGAAACAATCATGGATATCAACCAGGCAATTTCAGAGGTCAAGGTATGTTGTCTATGTGAACAACAAGTTCTTGCTGCTATACGACACTGACATGGTATTCAGAAAAAGGAACATGATCTGCTTGATTTTCATTCGGTGCGTGGCAGAAAGCAAGGACCTTTTCATCATGTGGATCTGGTATTGCGGGTCGATCGACAGCTTCCCATGCACAAGGCCCATCATTTGGAACAGGTTGTGCAGGATTCAATCAAACGCCATTTCCCTGATATCCAACAAGTGATGATCTACCTTGAGACGAAAGATAACAATCATACCAGCGCCAACAACAACATCCCTCCACCTCCTTCGTCATCACAGCATCAACATCAGCATTAAACCAAAAGATATAGAAGCCATTTTGATTCCATATAGTATTATATAGTCCATAGAGGATAAAGGTATTATCTACAATAAGAGCAGGGCTTCCCAAATGTGAATACAGTAGCATCTTCTCATTGCTCATGTAATGTCGTTAGCTCCTTTGAGTCAAGATGTCTAGAAAGTATTTGCTAATGATGTCCATGCATCCAACCCTCTTTAGCAGCCATCAAATCATCTTCATAGTAGGCGGATCCCTGCGACTCAGTTGCATGGAGCAGCTGATGCATACAAAGGATGAGCTGGTAACCCCCTTCATACCTGTATTCGTGGCTCACCTCTTCTTGCACTGTGTGATTTTTTTTGGTCGTTGTGGAAATATAATAATCTGGAGAGGTCCACCAACAGTTTGGCTGGTGGCGGCATGGCCATACGTTTCGAAGACTTTCGGAATTGGCGTATCTGATGATGGCATTTACTTGCTTTTCCAATTGTCTTGCCCTTTTTGGTCCTTTTGTTTGCCATTGTTCCTTGATATCGTCAACATTCTTCATTGTATTTATGAACCGCACCTTATCTTTGCTGGGAACCCTGATTCATTTTCTCCTCAACTTGGCTATTTGCTCTCGAGCCTCGATACGAGCACCAGGAGAATCGTATTGCAGGCGACCAGCCGTATCAAGAATGCGCTCAAATGTGCTGATACCCGATACACAGATTGATGAGATCGTATCCAATAATAACTTTAATGTGTTATGGGCGGTTTCATTCCGCTTTACAATTGATATCAGACGCTGCATGATTGGATCGCGCCATGATCCTGATTCCAATAACGACCTCTCATCTTGCACCAATAGCTTGGATAACGTGTGGAATGGTGTGATCAAGCTGGCATCCGTGGCAGTGATGGCATTTATAAGCACGACTTTCTCAGCCCAGCACTTGCATGATAGTAAACAAAAGCCAAAGTTGGCAATAGTGAAATGTTGTCATGCCCGATATTAGTGGTGTGAGTGTTGAAGATCAAGAGGATAGGTGGACGTTTTCATGGCGAAAGTATGCTTTGGGCACGCCAAAGGGCCCCTTTATGTCATGACAATGCAAGCCGCCACCAAAAATCTCTGGGCCAACTCGAAATAATGTGCCATTGACCCAAGTTCGCTCTAGATGCATCTTGGATGATAGCTACATCAAAAGAGTATATGAGTATATGCGTCATCGAACGGCATGGTAGGTATTTTACCTTATTAAAAGAGCTAAATATCACAATGAAAACAATGACCATGAAAATAGGAAAACAATGACACGCTAAAGAACATGGCATTAATACATGGATCGCTCAAAAAGAGGACCATTAACCATAGTACTCACATCGACTTGACTTTGAAGGTGCCAGCATTAAGAGTGATTTAGGATAGAGGAAAGAGATGTGTGGTAGTAAAATGACGGGCGACAACATCTTTTATGTGCATGGTGGGCGTGGGTATTTCTGTGATCATAAAAAAGGAGGGAAGAGTGATGAGCTGATAGATTGATGGGGCGCATTCACAAAAAGCCTTGGTGTGATTGATTGTACATGCATAAATCAGGTTCTGAGATAAACGAAATGACTAAATCCGACATCATCAAACAATGACATCCATCTACTATCATAGGTCGCTTGCAGTGTCCATGGTGTAAATATATAAATGATAATAAGGTGGCAAATTAGCTTCCATGGAAACCCATGTACTGACAAGGATGGCCACGCGAAGGCTTTGCCGTCACCCTCTCCCCTACGGTGCACCAAGCCGGATAACGGGGGCTGCCATTGTAAACAACAGCATCTTCTATAGGTGCTGCTCGAGCCAACATGTTCGGTCTGATAAAAGGATAGCATTCCACGCCCACAGAGGCCGACCCATAAGAGCGAAAAGCAATACATGATCCCATATCTACCACAAGGCCACTGAGTAACAGTCTAACTTCCAACGGCTAAGGCAGTAATCCTCAAATGCAATTGATAGGGCCATGATAGGGCTGACCACACTGTCGCATGTAAATCATAGCTGCCAACGATGCTTTACACAAAGAGTAAGGCACCATCCCGTTCTACCCATAGCAAATAAACATCCGCCATATCAGTAGTAGCTGCCATCAAGCGACCTTCTTGGGTAGGCGTCATCAGAGAGACACATCATGCACTGCAACAAATAAATCCGGTCTTGATGAAAAGCATACGCGAGAAGCCAAGAGAACGTCCAAGGTATCCATACAAGTACTTGAGGAATGAGATCCGCCATGGCACCGATAAAAACATTGCTCTGAAGATCCATCGATAAAGAGACGACTTGCAGGTAGCTGATTTCCAAAACCATGGAAACGGTATCCTTGACAACCACAACTATAAGATAGAGATCGCTTGCTTGCTTCTGAGACACCCACCCAAATTCAAATGTTGATCTTCGACTTCCAATTCAATAGGATTCGCCATTGACAACTGTAAGGAGAGACTTTGATGGCACCAAAGAGCATGCGAAATTATAGCTTGATGGAATGATGGGCCTATAAAACTGTATATCACTAATTTATCTTTGAGGTAATGGTAACAATACTTAGCCAGTGTCATATGAGAATCCACGATGTTTGATGCTACCCAGTAATCAGAACACATTTCCTTGCTGTAGAGATGCCGACACAGTGACCAATCCTGATAGCCGTTTCTCCAAGCGATACTTGATGATGAATGCCATGAGAGATGGATACACCTTGACAGCACCAAAAGGACACGTAACATTGTTGTTTGTTGCTGATGTGATACATCCATAAGATACGTGCGGTGAAGAGGGCTCTTGAAATCAATTGGCCAATAACGAGAACACCAGAGGATCAAATAAATGTTGTTGACACTAAAGATGTCTGCTCTGTTGCTCATTGCTGCTTCTTGCTTGTAGCTGATATGATCCACTGATAACAGGCATGCGTAGCAGGATATCCATTGAAAGGGTTGTCAACAACTAGGACCACAATAAGACGAGATAAAACTTGGCGACACCAAAAGGTATAGAACTTGTTGCCTTGCCGCTGCAGATGCTTATAAAAGGAAGTGTCCAATAGGTGGTACAGTAACGAAAACCATCGAACGATGTAATAAGGCAAGCTGACACTGAAGGATGCTGTCGACATTGCTCTTTGACCCTGACATGATTCACCTATGAAGGATGCACGGTAAACAGTTTCCCGAATCCATGGAACGATATTTTGCAATGACAGCTGCATCCATGAATATTCCAAAGGACCAAAATACAAGTAGTTTGCTGAATAGCACACAAACTATAATAAAAGAGGGGGTTGGTTGGGATTAGAGCCAAAAAACGGGTCATCCACTATTTACCAATGAAAGCCATATGAATAAAACCCTGTCGACATCCAATGATAGCTGCATCCATCAAGAATCCAAAGGGAACAAGACAAGTAGCTCGCTGAATAACCCACATGAAAGAGGGTGTTAGTAGGCATTGAAAGAAAGAATGGATCATTATTTACCAATGCCAGCTTCATGTATGAAAATCCCAATGCACCAGAAGACAAGTAGCTTGCTGAATAGCCCACATCCTATAATAAAAGAGGAGGTTGGCAGGCGTTGAAGAAGAGAACGGATCATCATTTACCAATGATAGTCATATGCACGCAATCCTGATGATATCCAAATCCAGCCGGTTCTTTGCAATCGTCCGCTTGTTGATAAGGCCCGCTACGGTGGTACTCGGCTTGAAAGCGATGGAACGATACTTTATGGGCATATGCAGTGAGAAGGTTGAGTAATATTGATACCACCAAAGATAGCATACTTACATGATGCCGAAGAGCCCTTACAAAGATAGACAACGAGGCAATCCTTGCTGCCCAAGACCACATGCAAATCGAGAAAGCATTGTGCATCGAAAAGCCCAAACCAGATCCTAGCTGCGGAGTGACGTACATATGGCTAAAGAGCGATGTGAATGGCAATCGTTTTTCATTGGAAATCGAATGCAGCTTGACGATGAATGCCTTGAGGAGATGCATGAATGACCTTGGCAACACCAAAGATGTCAACGCGGGTTCTCATTGCTTGTTGATGACATGATCCATCCATAAGACACGTATAGTTGTAGAGATCCATCAAAGGAATCGCCAATAACCAGAACCACCAAGAGATAGAAAGGTTGCTGATATCAAAGATATACAAGTTGTTCCTTGCTGCTCATGTGATCAATCGATAAGAGAACTTCATTTCAGGACGCCCACCGAATTGCCGATAACGAGGAAACCAGATGATGGGATAAAGCTTGATGTGGAACCAACGATATGGATGCTGTTGCTAGTTGCTGATACAATCCACTCATAAAAACGTTCATTGGCTGACATTCTCCAGAGAAATCGCCCGTTGCTTGGTAACCAACCACCCGAGACGCAATAAAGGTTGACACCACCAAAGACATAAACACTTCCCCATGGCTGACATGATTCAACTATAAAAGATGCACCATAAACAATTGTCCAAACTCATCCAACAATACTTAGCAATCATAGCTGTGATCTTGTAAACTCCAAAGCACCAAAAGACAAGTAGCTCTCTGCAATGGTCCCTCTAAATAATAATGGTAGGCGTTTCAGCAAAGGTATCCAAAAAGCATGAGAGTCCTACATACCTGAATCACGCAATCATCACCCGCAGACTTGGGAATCAAATAGGCCATCAGGATGTAAACTAATCATAAAAGCGCACAGCCAAAGGAACATCATAGTACCGGTACTCTCCTGTGGATCGACGCGATGAAGTGCATCAATAGAGATACCATCTTCTCTCTAAAGGCAAGGAGATCAATAGCCGTAAAACGATGGAGCCGTGCGAACAGAGGATGCATTTTTAATCCCTGAGGCCGCAACATGAGTCGCACTGTCCCCGAGCACAACATGTAGAGCTCCACAGGAAAGTGTAGTACAATGACATCCTTGACGTGCAGCCGTGATAATAATAGTATCGCCGAAAGAGGCTCTGCCACTGTATGGTGTTTGGTAAGTCCACTTGAATCCAACCAATCCCATCATAATGAACATCTTACCTTGTGGTATTTCTCAATAGCATTCCATTGATGCTTGTAAGTAACCTTGTATCCATCCGATCCAGTATGTGCTGCTGCTGTTTCACTGTAAGGTTCGTTAATTAACAGGTTTCGCTTTGTAGA